TGACTGAAATCGCCCCAAAAACGGGCGGGGCCATTTGAAGCACGACTTTAGCCTGATTTGACATTTAGTGGCTGGCAGATCAGACGTGAACACTGATAAATACTGTTGCCGTGATATAATTGATTAGAAAAAAAATCCCTTCCTTTTCCCGTTTGGCAGTGCGTCGCCCATATCGCCCTATTGAACAGGCCGTCCCTGCTCTGTACTCATTGTATTATACTGTGTGTTACTGGTAAACATTTGGTTTTCAGGAGATTCAGGGCAAGAAGTATAGTACATGACTTTTAAAAGTACAGTAGGCCATGACTTTCTGTAGATTAAAGGTTTGTAAAATACTGGTACAGCCTGCAGCCATTTAGTAAGATGGCTGCCACGGCTCCGGGGGCCAAATCTGTGGTGGCTCCATATCTAACTCTTTTGAGGTTACCTAAATCTACCACTGTGCACAATTTGCTGTGTTTATCTAAAATAAAAGCCTTAAGAAATTTAAAATTGCATTACTGACAGTAGTAATTTTGTAAGATGGCTGCTATGGCCCCCAGGAGGCAAATCTGGGGTAGCGCCATTTCTAAATATTTTCAGGCTATATACATCTACCTCTGTGGCAACTTAGGTTTGTTTATCTCAAAATAGTCCTTCTGAACTGCAAAATAGTGTTACCATCAGCAGCCATTTTTAAAAAATTGCCATCACTGGCCCCCAGGGGCCAAATCCGGGGTTGCTCGAAATCTACATCTTCTAAGTTTCCATAAATCTACCTCTGTTCCAAATTTGGTGCCTTCATCTCAAAACAGTCCTTCTGAATTGTAAAATAATGGTACTGCGGATGGTAAAATGGATGCCACATCCCCCAGGGGCCAAATCTGGGGTGGCTCCATATCTAAATCTTTTCAGGGTATATAAATCTACATCTGTGCCAAATTTGGTGCTTTTATCACAAAGTGCATGATTGATTTGCTAAGCTGCCCCACTGATAAAGGCACAGTATGTACAGGGATATGGCTTGATCGCTAGGAAGGCTACAAATTGTACCACTGATCTATAACTATGGATGTCGGAAGGTGCTTGCGTGTGTGCTGTGCATGAAGTGACATCACATCTAGAGTGAGAACAGCTTGAGAGAGGCAGTCTTGCACAGCAAGGATAAACCAATATCAATATATGCCATGCTCAAACGATATCGATATTATATCCAATTATTGATATTGGTGCCCACCACTAATTAGCATACACATCAGTACAGACACCTTCCCAATTAGCAGCATGGATGCATGCACATTATCATTGCATTGTTTGGAACTCAGTTTCTTCCAAGTTGACTCACCCTCCCTATACAGTTTCACTTTCTGTGTGCATGAGAATGTCATCCAATTTTTGTTTTTGTGTGTGTGAGATAGAGAGAGAGAGCGAGAGAGAGAGAGAGGAAAAACAGGTTTCAGACAATTACCTACTACAGTAAAGACACCGTTGACCCTGTGACAATGACACTGCTTGGCTATCAGTGTGAATCCTTTTGGGTGTGTTCAAACTCTGGAAATGCGCATGGTACTGAGCACTGGAGGCTGCTGAGGGGAGGACGGCTTATAGTAATGGCTGGAATGGAGTCAATGGAATGGTATCAACCACATGGAAACCACGTTTGATACCACTCCATTGACTCCATTTCAGCCATTATTATGAGCCATCCTCCCCTCAGCAGCCTCCACTGGCACTGTGCTATATTATCATCAAACAAAAAAGTAATAATTCACACAATCAGAAGACGAATCCCTGTCACATGTTGCTCACAGACACATATTTATATTATTAGACTGCAAGTGTTTACACAGTAATACAAAACACTGAGAAAATGCCATTGTCCATACTGTGTAAGTCGCTCTGGATGAGAGCGTCTGCTAAATGACTTACATGTAAATGTACAGCCTGCCAACAATCTTCTCTATTACACAAGAATACTTCAGAAGAAGCTATAAAGCCTTATTCAGGGAGAAATGTAGAGAGTGGGTGAGAGATAAGCAGAGAGGAACAGACATTTTGAAAGTCTTACCTTGTTGTTACCTTGAGAGCACTAGTTCCCTGGACTCAGTGTGTCGAGGTCCAAACTCTTTTTGGTTGCATAGCTGTGTGCCTGTGTTCATTCCAGGAAGTGGAGAAGGTAAGACAGCAGAGCAAACTCCCACTGTTCCCTGCCTCTCTCTACTCTCACAGGCCTGACCACATCCCCCTGCTCCCAAGAAATTACTACTCTGGCTGGGCTAATAGCCAGTTATAAACTCTCCAAGCAGGTAGTACAACAATCAGAAGTGTTATTGACATTTCTACTTACCTTTCTACTGCTGTTGTTCAGTTCTATTTTCAACATCATAAAACTCTTGTCTAAAGTTTAACATTGCGCATAACGGACACATAGAGTAATTCTGTGGTTTTCTGTTATAATTTTTGTTTGCAATCAACTTTCACTTTTGATCAATAAAGTATAAAAGTACTGTGTGTTACTGGTAAACATTTGGTTTTCAGGAGATTCAGGGCAAGAAGTATAGTACATGACTTTTAAAAGTACAGTAGGCCATGACTTTCTGTAGATTAAAGGTTTGTAAAATACTGGTACAGCCTGCAGCCATTTAGTAAGATGGCTGCCACGGCCCCAGGGGCCAAATCTGTGGTGGCTCCATATCTAACTCTTTTGAGGTTACCTAAATCTACCACTGTGCACAATTTGCTGTGTTTATCTAAAATAAAAGCCTTAAGAAATTTAAAATTGCATTACTGACAGTAGTAATTTTGTAAGATGGCTGCTATGGCCCCCAGGAGGCAAATCTGGGGTAGCGCCATTTCTAAATATTTTCAGGCTATATACATCTACCTCTGTGGCAACTTAGGTTTGTTTATCTCAAAATAGTCCTTCTGAACTGCAAAATAGTGTTACCATCAGCAGCCATTTTTAAAAAATTGCCATCACTGGCCCCCAGGGGCCAAATCCGGGGTTGCTCGAAATCTACATCTTCTAAGTTTCCATAAATCTACCTCTGTTCCAAATTTGGTGCCTTCATCTCAAAACAGTCCTTCTGAATTGTAAAATAATGGTACTGCGGATGGTAAAATGGATGCCACATCCCCCAGGGGCCAAATCTGGGGTGGCTCCATATCTAAATCTTTTCAGGGTATATAAATCTACATCTGTGCCAAATTTGGTGCTTTTATCACAAAGTGCATGATTGATTTGCTAAGCTGCCCCACTGATAAAGGCACAGTATGTACAGGGATATGGCTTGATCGCTAGGAAGGCTACAAATTGTACCACTGATCTATAACTATGGATGTCGGAAGGTGCTTGCGTGTGTGCTGTGCATGAAGTGACATCACATCTAGAGTGAGAACAGCTTGAGAGAGGCAGTCTTGCACAGCAAGGATAAACCAATATCAATATATGCCATGCTCAAACGATATCGATATTATATCCAATTATTGATATTGGTGCCCACCACTAATTAGCATACACATCAGTACAGACACCTTCCCAATTAGCAGCATGGATGCATGCACATTATCATTGCATTGTTTGGAACTCAGTTTCTTCCAAGTTGACTCACCCTCCCTATACAGTTTCACTTTCTGTGTGCATGAGAATGTCATCCAATTTTTGTTTTTGTGTGTGTGAGATAGAGAGAGAGAGCGAGAGAGAGAGAGAGGAAAAACAGGTTTCAGACAATTACCTACTACAGTAAAGACACCGTTGACCCTGTGACAATGACACTGCTTGGCTATCAGTGTGAATCCTTTTGGGTGTGTTCAAAACTCTGGAAATGCGCATGGTACTGAGCACTGGAGGCTGCTGAGGGGAGGACGGCTTATAGTAATGGCTGGAATGGAGTCAATGGAATGGTATCAACCACATGGAAACCACGTTTGATACCACTCCATTGACTCCATTTCAGCCATTATTATGAGCCATCCTCCCCTCAGCAGCCTCCACTGGCACTGTGCTATATTATCATCAAACAAAAAAGTAATAATTCACACAATCAGAAGACGAATCCCTGTCACATGTTGCTCACAGACACATATTTATAGTATTAGACTGCAAGTGTTTACACAGTAATACAAAACACTGAGAAAATGCCATTGTCCATACTGTGTAAGTCGCTCTGGATGAGAGCGTCTGCTAAATGACTTACATGTAAATGTACAGCCTGCCAACAATCTTCTCTATTACACAAGAATACTTCAGAAGAAGCTATAAAGCCTTATTCAGGGAGAAATGTAGAGAGTGGGTGAGAGATAAGCAGAGAGGAACAGACATTTTGAAAGTCTTACCTTGTTGTTACCTTGAGAGCACTAGTTCCCTGGACTCAGTGTGTCGAGGTCCAAACTCTTTTTGGTTGCATAGCTGTGTGCCTGTGTTCATTCCAGGAAGTGGAAAAGGTAAGACAGCAGAGCAAACTCCCACTGTTCCCTGCCTCTCTCTACTCTCACAGGCCTGACCACACCCCCCTGCCCCCAAGAAATTACTACACTGGCTGGGCTAATAGCCAGTTATAAACTCTCCAAGCAGGTAGTACAACAATCAGAAGTGTTATTGACATTTCTACTTACCTTTCTACTGCTGTTGTTCAGTTCTATTTTCAACATCATAAAACTCTTGTCAAAAGTTTAACATTGCGCATAACGGACACATAGAGTAATTCTGTGGTTTTCTGTTATAATTTTTGTTTGCAATCAACTTTCACTTTTGATCAATAAAGTATAATGTAATGTTTATCATAGGACAAACATTTTTGGCTCTGAAGACTTTCGCTACTAAAATGGGCAGCATGTCACCTGGACCTTCGGATAAGCAACAGCGCCCCCTAGTGTTACAAATTATGTACCTCAGATGTCGCAATGTACTGTTATTGGCATCCTTTTTACGGCAAACGCAGATCAATGTAATTTTGATCTAGCAGCAGGTTAGGGGTCTTCAGAGCTGGTGAAATATAACTCAACAGGTTCCGAGGACCATTATGCAGAACCAGAAAGAGGCAGACAAAACTGTCTTTGTGGCTAATTTAGGCAGTTCAGCTAATGAGGAAATTATTTTCGAGCTATTTTTGCAGGTAGGCTCCCATTGTCCACAGGCTCTACCATTTGACGAAATGAATGGCAATGAATGTGTGGGTGAAATGAAACCACTGGTGTTTACTCCAGCTGAACTGTCTGCCTGTCTGGGTGTAATCATTAGTCCTAACAGTTGCAACTAAAACGAGAGTTTCTATTCGACAAATTCAGGTAGGTCCTTCCCCGTTTAGTTCTGTTTGCTTCTGTTTAAGAAACGATTGTAACAGAATTGGCATAATGAAAACACCCCTGGTGACAGTGGCTGCAGCTCAATTTAGCAGGTCTTACAGTTTGCTCTCGCTGTGGGTGGAAATTAATTTGTGTTTTAAGTCAATTTAAAATACATGTTGGCCTAATTTGTTTGTCTTATTTTTCATGAGGTAGTGTCATTGGTTTGAATTCTAGCAAGCCAAATCACCTTTTACACTAAATGTGAAGGACATGCAGAGATAATAAGATGGAAGAGAGTCATGATAAGGCCACATCCAGTGATGTTGGTGGCCACAGGTGAAATGCAACAAAAAGGAAGTTGCACAGAGATATTATTCCTTAAATGTAAAAAGAATTCATCATCTGCATCTGGTGTTTCTAGTTTACATCCTGTCTGTGCCTTGTTACATACCACCAGGCTGGGCCACTGAAGAAGGTCACCATCGCCCGAGACCGTGAGGGTCGCCAAAGGTCATATGGGTTTGTGTATTACAAGCATGCTGAAGCTGTACCCTATGCCATTGCCTTGCTGAATGGCACTTGGCTCTTTGGCCGTCAAATCAGGCTGCAGTACGGCACCGGTAGGTCAGTGTTTTTTGTCATCATTAAGAATCCATTCACAGACCGTTTTGATCAGCTTTCAACTCACCCATTTGGACTTATGAAGTTTGCAGAGCAGCAATTTAGCATCAGGACATTTCCAAAACCTTTTAATTTACAATTTGCTCTCTACATGAAGCAGGATGTGTTCTTAAAGTAACTGTTGTTTCAGCTGCTTAGGGATATCAGTGCATTGTAGATAGGTAGGGTGAAGGTTTTTAGGCCCTCCCCCTTTCCCCCTTGTAGGTAGCTCCCACCAGGATGGGGGATCTGGACCTCAAGGCACAGAGGATGACCGTGATGACCCTTCACATGACACACCCAGGTGAATCAGGCCAGACCATGTCATTTCAGAGCATCTTATTTTTGGCTAATGTTATGAACAGATTTAATCTAATCCTTGACCATCTGTTTATTCTTCTTAGTGTGAACGTAGGTCTCCCAGAGTCATCTGTGTTCCACTTCACAGGGCGTGCTGATGTCAGCCTCTCCTGCCAGGACCAGTTCCACTGGAACAACATGGTGAGGACTCACTGGGAATTAGAGGGAGATATTTTCAACATTCAGTACTTTGAATGCATTCAGTTGTGCAACTGACTAGGTATCCCCCTTTCCTTTCCTTGTAAAACTAATTAAGTGCTTGACTAACAGTTTTTTTTGTGTGTTGTAGGTGCATGGCTACCCTTGTGAGCAGTACCCTCTGAGTATCACCCCTCCCCAGCCCCACTACTATGTCCCCCCCTCATCCTTGTGTCCCCCTATTGCCCCCCTGCTGCCCTGGCCAGGATACCCCCAATGGGCCCCTACACGACCCCCCTGTCCCAGCCAGGGTCAGGCCCCCCTGCTCCCCCTGCCTCCCAGCTCTACCCAGCCCAACAAGCAGACAGCTCACCAAAGAGAAGGGCCTAAGAGGCAGACAGCTCAGCAAGGAGAAGTGGAGCCTGCAAAGCCGCACAAACACAGAAGAAGCAGGGAGAGCAGACTGCAGAGGCGCAGGAACAGATGCAAAAAGTGAGCACATACACTCAAATAAACAATTAGCATTGATCATCCACATACAAGCTGAAACGTGTAGCATATGCTCAATACCCTAATATACTAAGATGCCCACAAGCTGTGAGGATGGTCCTTTTCTCAGCTTTACAAATGCACAGACACTGTACAACCATGAAAGACCATCTGCTCTTGAATATAGCCCACAGTATGCCTTTGAGTATTCCTGTACAAATATATGTATATATCTGTTTACGCAGTTTTGTTTCATATGCGCTGACTGTTTTTCTGTTTGATCGTCCGGTGTGTTTACACCAAATAAATTGCACATTTCCTAAAGGAACTTAAATGTGTGGCTGTTTGATTTATGAGTTCCAAGTGATTTGAACCACATAATATTGGAATGTGAGCAGCACTTCTAGCTGTGTGACAGAATTAGGCATAACATTTGACATCATTCTCATTGTCCCCACCATGAAATCGGGGAGTGGACTGTGGATCTGTCTTTGTCCGTTAGTACGTTAGTCATACGCGATATCTCAGACAGCACTTGCCCGATTTTGACTAAACCTGGGTGAATGATGTGTCTTGCCATAGAGATCCAGCGTTTACAAAATTACACTGATTGGCCCAAGCCGGAAGCTATAGTAATGAAAATGTGTTAGTCACACGCAATCTCAATTGGCCCAAGGGGGGGCTGCATCATTCGTGGGGGATGATGTTTACTGTTGCTTTGTCTTAAGTTGGATGTCTAGGTAGATTCAAGGATGATGGTCACTTCTAGTAGCAGAAACTACTTCTTCCACATGATTATATTTAGATTCTATCTAAATATTCTATTTAGATAGAATCACCTTTGATCTATTTAGATAGAATTACCTTAGATCTGATGTAATGTTTATGACTGAGGAATTCTAGTATGGTTCTCCTTCATTTTATTGCTTTGGTAATAAACAATGCTGTATCAACTCTGATTGACAGCTTTAGTGAAAGCTGAATTTAGTGCATAGATGACATAAGTAGCGAACTCTGACTTAGGAAATATCTGAGCGTTAGTCATTTACTATGAGGATGCATGTTGTATGATGTTCTAGAAGGAATTCCATGGCAGAGAGGGCAACACAGAGTGAGGTCACTATCAGAGGGTACCTTCTGTGATAAGGATAAGAGCGTCTGCTAAATGACGTAAATGTAATAAGGTGACATTAATAGCTCACTCACATATCAGTGTTCAAAGTCTACTTAAAGACAGGAGTGGATTTATGTTTCTGTGTAGGATATTATGTAGAATATACCTTTTTTGTAGTGTGTATGTGTTTGATAGTTATACGTTGAGTATACAAAACATTAAAGACACCTGCTCTTTCCATGACATAGACTGACCAGGTGAATCCAGGTGAAAGCTATGATCCCTTATTGACGTCACTTGTTAAAGAAGGACTTTTAAGCCGTGAGACAATTGACACAAGGATTATGTATGTGTGCCATTCAGAGGGTGAATGGGCAAGACAAAATATTTAAGTGCATTTGAATGGGGTATGGTAGTAGGTGCCAGGCGCACCGGTTTGTGTCAAGAACTGCAACGCTGCTGGGTGTTTCACGCTCAACAGTTTCCCGTGTGTATCAAGAATGGTCCACCACCCAAAGGACATCCATCCAACTTGACACAACAGTGGGAAGGATTTGAGTCAACATTGGCCAGCATCCCTGTGGAACGCTTTCGACACCATGAGTCCATTCCCCGACAAATTGTGTCTGTTCTGAAGGCAAAAGGAGGTGGGTGCAACTCAATATTAGGAAGGTGTTCCTAATGTTTGGTATACTCAGTGCATATTTGATATAGGAATTAAAATATATACAGGTTAAAAGTAATGACTAAATGTTCCACCCTTAAATATAGTTGTGAAATGTTATTGTTTTAAGTATGATTAGTACTTTCTTAGAAGTGACTAATTATTACACCCTGAAACTGTGTGAAATGTGTTAGAATGTGTGAGTGTAGTAGGACGAGTAAAGACTATGACATTGAGCTACTATTTAGCAATGTGAGTAAGAATTAGACCAGACAACAAAGGACAAGGAGAGCTGTCTACAGACAACTGAGAAACCAAGATAAAGAGGCCTCCCAATTTAGGGAGGAGAGAAACTGTTAGGCTTTTTAAAGAGTATGCAGGATATTGTGAGGACGGCGATAACTAAGGAATGCATGTGGGTGTGTGTGTATGTGTGTGTGTGTGTGTGTGTGTGTGTGTGTGTGTGTGTGAACTGATGGTCAGGAGAGCAGTTTTAAAGTGGAAAACTACAGCCCGCCTAAAGAGGGGAGGGATTTTTGTATGACGTATGAGTATAAAAGATGGACTCTGAAATTGTGATGGCAGAATTCTCAATGAATAAATCTCTGACTATGCAGACCGGGACTCTGTCCGTTACTTAAATCCCAAAAGACTTACAACCTTTTGGGAGACGCACAGAGACACTGAAATAGTTTGTTAAATAATTCTCATAACAATATAAATTTGTGTGGAGTCCCGTACGTTTGGAAGTTTTATTATTTTATTTCATTGTATCACATGCTGACAGAATGGTCAGATTGATATGTGTTTGGGGTTAAGGGACTGTCCCAACCTTCATCCTTTAGGCCAATTTACAGTACTTATTTTGTCGTTCTCCACCATCAGTGCTCTTGTTATTAAGGACACTCATTAGGGATATCACCAATGATGCAGCATAGATTGGCTATCACTTTGTTGTTCCAGTTACTGCACAATAAAAGGTTTACTGCTGCCCCTCACAGAGATAAAGGGCCAAGGTCTCATTAATAACTAGCCCTGCCCATGGAGAGCAGAGAAATTCTCGTAGACGGATAGTCAAAGAAACAGGCTGTAGATACAACAGAAAACATAGGACGTAGTTGGAGACTCACTCCACAGTGCAGAATCCTATGATAGTTCATGACAGAGAAAGTGTTTGAATCACAGAGAATTCTGTGTGAGGTGTCAGCTGAAGGACAAGAAGACGGTGTGAGTGTGTGAGGACGTCAGGGAGCCATGTGGTGTGGGAAGCGGCGTTGCTCGTCCTCGGAGGTGCTGCTGAGTGTCCTGTGTCTGACCCTGCTGGCGGTGTGTGTCAGCCTCATTATCATCAGCTGGCTCGCCTTGCAGACTGACCGTGAGAAAATAGTTTTGTTTTCTTTCCTCCTAACCCATTTCTGTCATTAAAACGGTCAATATATTTGTTTAGAAATCAAATGTAATATTGTATACTGCATATGACTTTTGGGTAAAACATATCAATTTTCCACTCCATAGTTTTGTTTCTGATCTGTTGGTCATGTATAGAGTGAAAGGTGTCAGTCACTGACAGTATGTGTGTTTGTCCCAGTGGACCAGGGTGGACTAGGTGAGACTGAGTCTGTGTTCAGTGGGAGGCTGGTCATTACGAGGGGTGCTGTGTTTACTAAGGAGCTGAGAAACAGGAACAGTCTGCAGTTCAAGTCCCTGGCCTTCGACACAGAGCATCTGGTATGTCGGGATTCCATACACAAATGAATCGTTCTCCTGTCCACTCTCCTACACACTTTAGTCATAAATTATAAATACTATATTTTCTCACAGATATCTGACGCTTACGGCCGTGGCTCCCTCAATAATGACTTCAAGGCCTGTGAAGTTTTCGATTTCAGGTGAGACAGTATGTGTATAATGATATTTACAAATGACAACCTCATAGCATAGTGACATATACTGAAAGTGACAATGTCATTATACAATTTCTGACCATAAATCCCCCCATGTGACAGCAATGGCAGTGTGGTGGTGAACTTTGACCTGCAGTTCCGTCAGAGTGTGGAGGTGAAGGAGGCAGAGCAGCAGTTGGTGGCTGGGCTTCAGAGCACTGGGGGCCTGGTGGTTGACAAAAATAACATCCAGGTCACAGGTATAGGTGTAAAACAACCTACCCACACCTTACATACCGGTACATGATCATACTATTGGGAAGAAGGTGGGATCTAGATCTATTACCATGTTATTAATCCAGAAGATAAGTCTGAAATGCACCATTGAGAATTTGAACCTATATGATGTTTCTGTTTAGTGAAAGAGGATCTAACTACATCCCAGCCAACCTCTTCAACCAAACCGACCACTACACCTCATCTTTCCACTACATCCCAGCCAACCTCTTCAACCAAACCGACCACTACACCTCATCTTTCCACTACATCCCAGCCAACCTCTTCAACCAAACCGACCACTACACCTCATCTTTCCACTACATCTTCTTCAGGTGAGAACTGAATCGATAGGAAACACTTACAGTAGATTGATCATGCTGTAGTACTGTACCAGTACCATTTATTTTACATTTCATTGATGATGGTGAATGATGATTCATGTCCACAGGGAAGTGTCCACCTTATCATATGTTCTGTGGGGATGGCACTACATGTGTGGCCACCATGCAGTTTTGTGATGGAGTAGACAATTGTCCTGATGGCTCAGATGAAAACCATACTCTCTGTGGTGAGTGTTTGATACTCAGTGTTTGCTGATTATGTAACCTCGTCCCTACACTCTTAGAAAAAAGGCTTCCAAAAGGGTAATTCAACTGTCCCTGTAGGATAACCTTTTTTGGTTCCAGGTAGAACTCTTTTGGGTTCCATGTAGAGATCCGGCTGGTGGACGATTAATAATTAAGTGGATAAACATTGTTCTTGAATGTATAGATGGTACAGAGTAACAAGAAAATGCCATGTCAACGCATAATGTGTGGTCTGGTAATGTGGTCATGAGTGCATTGGTAGTATAATAGACCTGAACTGTGTGGATATCGTTCATATTTTCATAGCAACAAAGTGCGATGGCCAATTCCTTCTTCTTGGTCCTACGGGTTCCTTCCATTCTGAAAACTTCCCTCTCCCTTACAACAATGGCACGATTTGCCGCTGGGTTATACGGTACTCCTGCTTCTCACACTAACTACACACTACTCATGTTCATATACTTTTACCTGACATACCAGTGCTACCTCTCTACTTTTTGTGCTACCTTAATTAAAAAAAATTTTAATTTTTTCTTCCCTTTTTAGAATTCAGAAAGGACTAGCAATAAAGATGAATTTCCACTCATTCAACACAGAAGAAGATATTGATACTCTCAGTCTGTATGAGGGCACAGGACAGGGGAAATATCTGACATGTAAGTGGATAACACTCCTGAGCAAATATATGCTAATTGCTATTCAGCAATATATCTATATAAACTAAAGTAATAACACATCTACCACCCACTATGGCTGTGTTTCAGACCAGCTGTCAGGCCCCTCCCCAGGCACTGTGTGGCTGCTGTCTGACAAGGCCACTGTTGAGTTCTCCTCTGACGATTACAACAATCTCCAAGGATTCAATGCCACCTACTCAGCAGAAGACATCAGCAACCTCTCTAGTAAACAGTGTTTCCCAAACTCAATCCTCGGGACCCCACAGCTGATTCAAATGATCAAAGCTTGATGATTAGTTGATTCTTTGAATCAGCTGTGTAGTGCTAGGACAAAAACCAAAATGTGCACCCCTTGGGGTCTCGAGGACCGAGTTTGGGAAACCCTGACTTAAAGATTTCAAGGGTTATCAAAATGAACTGGAAGGAAGATTGCAATATGATTTGGTTTTGGGTCTCTCTGTGAAATGAAACGACAGTGGCAGTGTTCCTCTCTGCCCTCTCAGATGAGGAGAGGCTGAGCTGCTCCTTTGAGGAGGGCCTGTGTTTCTGGAGGCAGGAGCCCGAGGACGAAGGGGACTGGATACGCACCAATATCCCTACATTCCCCCCCTTCACAGGCCCAAACTTTGACCATACATTTGGGAACCAATCAGGTGTGTCATTATGTGACAAGACATTACTTTATTTCGCGGAGACTTTATGACTTTATTTCGATGTCGGATTGCTGTAGTCTGTTTCTGTTCTGTGACTGTTATTGTGTTCTGATGATACAGGCTACTACATTGTCACACCGGGAAGCCCTGGCCAGTGGGAGAAGAACTTCAAGATCCGCAGCCTCCGATTAACTCATTCAAATGAACCAATGTGTCTTAAGTTCTGGTAAGTGACCCTCTCTCTCCCTCTATTCATGTACTGTCTATGGCTACCCATCTCTAAATACATAGCCTCTCAACAGGTGTGTATTTATGCTACTTGTTGCTCCAGGTACCATATGTATGGAGAGGATGTGCGTCGGCTGAGGGTGTTGGTAGAGAGACGGTCAACGTCTGTGGTCAGAGAGGCTTCAGTCATTATGGTCTTCCAGAAGGAGGGTAACTATGGAGATAACTGGAACTTCGGCCAGGTCACCCTGAACAGCACAGCTGATACAACGGTCAGAATCCCACACTGTATAATTGCCATGATGTTATACTTGGCTGTAAATGTTGTCTGTCTATAAGTCTCTGTCTCTTCACTGTGATGTTCTTCTCAAGGTGGTTTTTGAGGCTCAGAAGAAGGGGGGTATGAAGAATGACATTGCCCTGGATGACATTAGTCTGACAATGGGTCCCTGTGGGGCGGACCCACCAGAGCCAACAGTGGTTCCCACCCCTCCAACACCACCTCCTATACCTCGTATGTTACTCTGAACCACATATTCTTCACATGGAACACTTTGACACAGGCCATCCATTCAGAACAGAACCACCCTGTCATCGTTAACCAGCCCCCTCACAATCACTCACTACCACTGAGTCACCAACTCACCCTCTCTCGCCTGACATTCACTGTTCTTTATCCATTCATGTCATGTGTCCTTGTTTTCCATGGAAGCATCTAAAGCATGTATTCATTCCTCTTTCTCAGCTGACTGTGGAGGACCTTTTGACCTTTGGGAACCCAACTCTACATTCAGCTCCCCCAACTACCCACACTCCTATGGAAACAAGGCTTCTTGTATGAACTTTGTGTTTTGTTCATTTGTTTTCCTAATTGGTTGAAATGTGGTGTTCATACATCTGTCTATCCTGGGCAAGGTTTGTGGACTCTTCATGCCAGGGAGGGATGGAACATCCAGCTTCACTTCCTGGATTTTGACGTTGAGTCGACCTATGACATCGTGGAGGTGCGGGATGGGGCAGGGCCGCAGTCTGAACTGCTTGGTGAGTCTCTGACCCTCCGCCTACTGTGATATCCTTCCTACACAACCTCTGTCATGTTACTATGACACTGTTAGTTGTTATTGAAAATGCAGAGGAGGTTTACTGGGGTGAATTGTTGTGTGTTTCTTTGTCAGGTGTCTTCACTGGCACTGATGCTACCTTTCCAGATGTGATCTCCACAGCCAATCAGATCACAGTGATGTTCTATACGGACAGTACAGGGTATGACAGAGGGTTCCGTGCCAACTTCACATCTGGCTTAGCACTGGGCATGCCAAGTAAGATTTTATATTAAGGAACCAATTCATCATTCTAAAGTCCAAAATTAGTAGTTCTGAATGAACCATAGCTGATGTACTCTTTATTCTTCAAAAGCCAAGTAACCAAACTGCCTTTGTCCTTTCAAATGCCAGAGCCCTGTGCCACTGGGCAGTACCGGTGTCAGTCTGGAGAATGTATCTCCAATGTCAGTGTGTGTAACGGCCAACCAGACTGCGCTGACTCCTCAGACGAAGCTGACTGTGGTGAGTAAACCAAATGAAGCTGTGACCCTGTCAACACCCATACAGCAATTCATGCCAGTAAAAGGCATGTGAACCAAAATACTGGTAAAGTGGTTCTCCATGATTCTATGCGTTCTAGTGCATCTGGTATCAGTGAACAGTACGAGTGTCAGACGTCTGCAGCTCCAGGTCCAGACCACCTGGTACACAGCCTGTGGTCGGCACTGGAACGCTCAGCTCTCCCACTTCATGTGTCGTTACCTGGGCTACAGGTGAGACCTCTGCTGTGTGTGTGTGTGTGTGAATGAGAAACAGTCATTCTTTGTATGTTTGACAGTGATGGACAGGGAGTCAGTCACTGTGTTTACATGTACTCTAGATCAGGAAGTGCCCTCCTCATACCTTCCACAGAGAAAGACTCTCCCTTCACCACCGTGAGTGTGGCAGCCAACGGCACCCTGGACCTGACCCCCAGGTACACTACATTCAACAAACAGATTTCATTTACATTTACATTGTTTTGTCATTTAGCAGACGCCCTTATCCAGAGCTACTTACAGGAGCAATTAGGGTTAAGTGCCTTGCTCAAGGGCACATCGACAGATTTTTCACCTAGTCGGCTCGGGGAATTGAGGAAATGGAACCTTTCGGTTACTGGCCAAACTCTCTTAACCGCTAGGCTACCTGCCGCTAATCGAGGAAATCGAACCTTTCGGTTACTGGCCCAACGCTCTTAACCGCAAGGCTACCTGCCGCTAATCGAGGAAATCGAACCTTTCGGTTACTGGCCCAACGCTCTTAACCGCTAGGCTACCTGCCGCTAATCGAGGAAATCGAACCTTTCGGTTACTGGCCCAATGCTCTTAACCGCTAGGCTACCTGCCTCTAATCGAGGAAATCGAACCTTTCGGTTACTGGCCCAACGCTCTTAACCGCTAGGCTACCTGCAGCTAATCGAGGAAATCGAACCTTTCGGTTACTGGCCCAACGCTCTTAACCGCTAGGCTACCTGCCACTAAACGAGGAAATCGAACCTTTCGGTTACTGGCCCAACGCTCTTAACCGCAAGGCTACCTGCCGCTAATTGAGGAAATCGAACCTTTCGGTTACTGGCCCAACGCTCTTAACCGCTAGGCTACCTGCCGCTAATCGAGGAAATCGAACCTTTCGGTTACTGGCCCAACGCTCTTAACCGCTAGGCTACCTGCCGCTAAACGAGGAAATCGAACCTTTCGGTTACTGGCCCAACGCTCATAACCGCTAGGCTACCTGCCGCTAATCGAGGAAATCAAACCTTTCGGTTACTGGCCCAACGCTCATAACCGCTAGGCTACCTGCCGCTAATAATTCAACTTTGATTCAACAGTCATACCAACATCCAACTTTGTTTCTATTTCCCATAGTGAAAAATGTACGGATGAAAAGGTTATATCTTTGCAATGTGACAACCAACGTGAGTATGCAAAGTATAAAGCGTCAACATAGTATCATGATAGATACTGTAAGTACTCCTTCACATATACACATTGACAAGTTTTGACAAGTTAACAAAACACACTCAAAAACACTATACTGTGCATTTTAGCGTGTGGCGTTCGTATGGTCTCCCAGAAGATGGATCATAGTGGGTCCACTGAACGACAGATGGAGGAGGAAGGAGAGGAGGAGTCAGAGGAGAGTGGAACTGTCAGAGTGGTGGGAGGGACAGACTCTCGTAAGGGGGCGTGGCCATGGATGGTGTCGCTGTACTGGAGGGGCCGTCATGTGTGTGGAGCTACTCTGATTGACAACGAGTGGTTGGTCACCGCTGCACACTGCGTTTATGGGTGAGGAATCCCCCTCTGCCTTTATACTGTTTGATTATGCTCCTGTATTCACCTTTACTTTGTGTACACTGTAAATATACACTGTGTATACACCTGAGTCTCACCTTTTTCTGTTCACACCATGTCACATAATAATAATAATAATAATAATAATAATATGCCATTTAGCAGACGCTTTTATCCAAAGCGACTTACAGTCATGTGTGCATACATTTTTACGTATGGGTGGTCCCGGGGATCGAACACACTACCCTGGCGTTACAAGCGCCATGCTCTACCAATAGAGCTACAGAGGACCATGTTTCTGTGCATTTACCCTCAACTGAGTCTGACCTATTTGAGTACAAAGTAGCTCTACCATTTTTTTTCTGTTCCATGCAGTTTAAGTTTTTCAGACCATTTCTACATTGACGGTCGTCTTTTTATCCTGCAGGAAAAATATTCACCTTTCCAACTGGGAGGCAGTTTTGGGCCTTCACTCCCAGGACAGTGTAGATATCCTCCCATCCCAGACCCGAAAGGTTGACCACATCATCATGAACAAACACTACAACAGAAGGACCAAGAATGCTGACATCGCAATGATGCACCTTCAAACAAACGTCAACTTCACAGGTGTGCAATCAAACACCCTTCTGCTCTACATAGCCTGAGAGTTTGACCTTATGTCAGATTGGCACTGAGCACAAGCGGCCATGTTGTGTTCATATAAAGTGGATTACTAAGTAGATGTACCTCACATATACACACAGATCCACACACACAACATAATATTCATACAGATCCACACACACAATATAATATTCATACAGATCCACACACACAGGATATAATATTCATACAGATCCACACACACATGATATAATCTTCATACAGATCCACACACACAGGATATAATCTTCATACAGATCCACACACACAGGATATAATCTTCATACAGATCCACACACACAGGATATAATCTTCATACAGATCCACACACAGGATATAATCTTCATACAGATCCACACACACAATATAATCTTCATACAGATCCACACACACATTTATAATCTTCATACAGATCCACACACACATTATATAATCTTCATACAGATCCACACACACAGGATATAATCTTACATTTACATTTTAGTCATTTAGCAGACGCTCTTATCCAGAGTGACTTACAGTTAGTACATACATATTTGTATTTATTTTTCATACTTGCCCCCCGCGGGAATCGAACCCACAACCCTGGCGTTGCAAACACCATGCTCTACCAACATCCCTGCCGGCCATTCCCTCCCCTACCCTGGACGACGCTGGGCCAATTGTGCGCCGCCCCATGGGTCTCTCCCGGTCACGGCCGGCTACGACAGAGCCTGGATTCGAACCAGGATCTCTAGTGGCACAGCTAGTGTGTGGGCCACTCGGGAGACGAGTCCACACACACAGGATATAATCTTCATACAGATCCACACACACATGATATAATCTTCATACAGATCCACACACACATGATATAATCTTCATACAGATCCACACACACTGTCACGATCGTTGAAAGGAGTGGACCAATGCGCAGCGTGGAATGCGAACATCTTTATTAAATATACACTACACGAACAAAAACAACAAAACGAAACGTGAAGTCCTCGGTCCACATACACAACCTACACGGAACAAGATCCCACAATACACTGTGCCAAACAGCTGCCTAAGTATGGTTCCCAATCAGAGACAAAAGAGCACAGCTGATTCTCGTTGCCTCTGATTGAGAAACCACCCCGGCCAACATAGATACACATGAACTAGATCCTAAATAGAAACACAAACACATAAAGAACTACACACCTGGCTCAAAACATATAAGAGTCCCAGAGCCAGGGCGTGACAGTATCCAACCCCCCCCCAAAGGCGCGGACTGCGACCGCGCCAAACATAAACCGAACAGGGGAGGGCTGGGTGGGCATTCCTCCTCGAGGCGGATCCCGTGCTCCGGGCGTGACCACCCAACCCTCAATAACCCCCCCCCCGTAGTGCCCCCTGGTCTGGTCTGGCCCCGCTGGCCTTGGAGCTGGAACGGGACATTGGTGGAGCGGATTGCTTAGGCTCCGTTGTGGAGCAGCTGTGACCGGTCTGTCCAGGCTGACGACTCGCACCCCGGCTTGGTGCGGGGAGCAGGAACGGGCTGACCAGGCTGACGATGCGCACCCCTGCCTTGGTGCGGGAGCAGGAACGGGCCGGACCAGGCTGACGACTCGCACCTCTGGCTTGGTGCGAGTGGCAGGAACGGGCTGGACCAGGCTGACGACGCACACCGTAGGCTTGGTGCGTGGAGCAGGGACAGGCCGGGCTGGGCTGACGACGCATACCGTAGGCCTGGTGCGTGGAGCAGGGACAGGCCGGACAGGGCTGGCGACGCACACCGTAGGCTTGGTGCGTGGAGCAGGAACAGGCCGGACAGGGCTGGCGACGCACACCGTAGGCTTGGTACGTGGAGCAGGAACAGGCCGGGCAGGGCTGTCGACGCACACCGTAGGCTTGGTGCGTGGAGCAGGGACAGGCCGGGCAGGGCTGGCGACGCACACCGTAGGCTTGGTGCGTGGAGCAGGAACAGGCCGGACAGGGCTGGCGACGCACACCGTAGGCTTGGTGCGTGGAGCAGGACAGGCCGGGCAGGGCTGTCGACGCACACCGTAGGCTTGGTGCGTGGAGCAGGAACAGGCCGGGCAGGGCTGTCGACGCACACCGTAGACTTGGTGCGTGGAGCAGGAACAGGCCGGGCAGGGCTGTCGACGCACACCGTAGATTGGTGCGTGGAGCAGACAGCGCAGGCTGTCGACGCACACGTAGACTTGGTGCGTGTGAGCAGGACCAAGCCGGTGGCAGCTTACGCAACACTCACTGGCGAAGCAGGAAGTCCGGCAGGCTGCGACGCACAACGAGACTGTGGTGGACAGGAACAGGTCGGTCAGCTGTCGAAGCACACGTAGACTTGGTGCGTGGCAGGAACAGCCGGGCAGGCCGCCCGCAACATAGACTTGACTGCTGGAGCAAGAAACAGCCCAGGGCATTCGACGCACACCGCTAACATTGGTGCCTGAGCAGGGACGACGCCGCGACTCGCACGCACACCGAGGCGGTGCGACGGCGCAACATGACCGACGGGCTGGGGGGCGCACCCTCGATGGGTCCGAGCGCCGTACAGCCGACCTAATGGGACACCCCCCGTACTGGCCTTCGCGGACTGGACGGGCGGACGGACTGGACATGAGCAGCGCTAGTTAGCTCCGGTGTGGAGCATCTAACCTCCTGCCAGCCGTTGAACCAGGGCCGCGTGAACCGGGCTTTGAACACGCCCCTTGTGCGGGGGCAGACGGCCCGCGTCCTGCGATGGCCCCCCACGCTTAGTTGGGGGTGCCGGTCCGTCCGGCTACGATGGCACCCTGCTGCGGGCGGGGCAGAACGTCCGCCACGGGCCTGCATCCTACCCCAAGGTCCTTGCCGCCGAGCATGGGCCCGGACCGCTGACGACGCGCCCCCTGGTGCCAGGGCAGAACCGTCCGATCCGTTCCTGGCGCTGCTCCTTGCTTGGCGAGGGCGCTGACAGGCCGTCGTGGCTTGGCCTGCTACCAGTGGTTTGGTTGCGAGAGCAGGAACGGCCGGGGGGTGTGACCAAGCGCATGGCTGTGGGGAAGAAACGGCCGACCGGTGATATAAAGTCCTAAAGTTAGCGAAGCAGATTGCGTGAAGTCCGGCTGTAACTCGAACATGTCCTCCCAGGACCACCATTTGCCCCACCTGGGCCATCGCCAACTTCTCCATCTCCTTACCCGGCGTTAGCCTCCGAACACGCTGCTTGGTCCAGTATTGGTGGGATCTTCTGTCACGATCGTCAAAATGAGTGGACCAATGCGCAGCGTGGAATGCGAACATCTTTATTAAATATACACTACACGAACAAAAACAACAAAACAGATACGTTGAAGTCCTCGGTCACATACACAACCTACACGGAACAAGATCCCACAATACACTGTGTCCAAACAGGCTGCCTAAGTATGGTTCCCAATCAGAGACAACAAGCAACAGCTGATTCTCGTTGCCTCTGATTGAGAACCACCCCGGCCAACATAGATACACATGAACTAGATCCTAACATAGAAACACAAACACATAGAATCTATACACCCTGGCTCAACATATACAGTGGGGAAAAAAGTATTTAGTCAGCCACCAATTGTGCAAGTTCTCCCACTTAAAAAGATGAGAGAGGCCTGTAATTTTCATCATAGGTACACGTCAACTATGACAGACAAAATGAGATTTTTTTTCTCCAGAAAATCACATTGTAGGATTTTTTATGAATTTATTTGCAAATTATGGTGGAAAATAAGTATTTGGTCATAACAAAAGTTTCTCAATACTTTGTTATATACCCTTTGTTGGCAATGACAACCGGTCAAACGTTTTCTGTAAGTCTTCACAAGGTTTTCACACACTGTTGCTGGTATTTTGGCCCATTCCTCCATGCAGATCTCCTCTAGAGCAGTGATGTTTTGGGGCTGTCGCTGGGCAACACGGACTTTCAACTCCCTCCAAAGATTTTCTATGGGGTTGAGATCTGGAGACTGGCTAGGCCACTCCAGGACCTTCAAATGCTTCTTACGAAGCCACTCCTTCGTTGCCCGGGTGGTGTGTTTGGGATCATTGTCATGCTGAAAGACCCAGCCACGTTTTCATCTTCAATGCCCTTGCTGATGGAAGGAGGTTTTCACTCAAAATCTCACGGTACATGGCCCCATTCATTCTTTCCTTTACACGGATCAGTCGTCCTGGTCCCTTTGCAGAAAAACAGCCCCTAAGCATGATGTTTCCACCCCCATGCTTCACAGTAGGTATGGTGTTCTTTGGATGCAACTCAGCATTCTTTGTCCTCCAAACACGACGAGTTGAGTTTTTACCAAAAAGTTATATTTTGGTTTCATCTGACCATATGACATTCTCCCAATCCTCTTCTGGATCATCCAAATGCACTCTAGCAAACTTCAGACGGGCCTGGACATGTACTGGCTTAAGCAGGGGCAGAATTTGAGTCCCTGGCGGCGTAGTGTGTTACTGATGGTAGGCTTTGTTACTTTGGTCCCAGCTCTCTGCAGGTCATTCACTAGGTCCCCCTGTGTGGTTCTGGGATTTTTGCTCACCGTTCTTGTGATCATTTTGACCCCACGGCGTGAGATCTTGCGTGGAGCCCCAGATCGAGGGAGATTATCAGTGGTCTTGTAATGTCTTCCATTTCCTAATAATTGCTCCCACAGTTGATTTCTTCAAACCAAGCTGCTTACCTATTGCAGATTCAGTCTTCCCAGCCTGGTGCAGGTCTACAATTTTGTTTCTGGTGTCCTTTGACAGCTCTTTGGTCTTGGCCATAGTGGAGTTTGGAGTGTGACTGTTTGAGGTTGTGGACAGGTGTCTTTTATACTGATAACAAGTTCAAACAGGTGGCCATTAATACAGGTAACGAGTGGAGGACAGAGGAGCCTCTTAAAGAACAGACAGTTAAGTATGGCTCCCAATCAGAGACAACCAGCAAACAGCTGACACTCGTTGCCTCTGATTGGGAGTCACTTAGGCCAACACAGAAAACAACAACCTAGAACACCCAACCTAGAAACAACCCACACAGAACGAACACACCCTGGCTCAACATACAGATCCCGGAGCCAGAGCGTGACAATAATCTTCATACAGATCCACACACACATGATATAATCTTCATACAGATCCACACACACTGTCACGATCGTTGAAAGGAGTGGACCAATGCGCAGCGTGGAATGCGAACATCTTTATTAAATATACACTACACGAACAAAACAACAAAACGATACGTGAAGTCCTCGGTCACATACACAAACCTACACGGAACAAGATCCCACAATACACTGTGCCAAACAGGCTGCCTAAGTATGGTTCCCAATCAGAGACAACAAGCAACAGCTGATTCTCGTTGCCTCTGATTGAGAACCACCCCGGCCAACATAGATACACATGAACTAGATCCTAACATAGAAACACAAACACATAGAATCTATACACCCTGGCTCAACATATAAGAGTCCCAGAGCCAGGGCGTGACAGTACCCCCCCCCCAAAGGCGCGGACTGCGACCGCGCCAAACATAAACCGAACAGGGGAGGGCTGGGTGGGCATTCCTCCTCGGAGGCGGATCCGGCTCCGGGCGTGACCACCACCCTCTAATAACCCCCCCGTAGTGCCCCTGGTCTGGTCTGGCCCCGCTGGCTGGAGCTGGACTGGACATCGGTGGAGCGGATTGCTTAGGCTCCGGTGTGGAGCAGCTGACCGGTACCTGACCAGGCACCGGTGAACCGGGCACGGGCTGTGCCGGACTGACGACACGCACCCCTGGCTTGGTGCGGGGAGCAGGAACGGGCCGGACCGGGCTGACGATGCGCCCCACAGGCTTGGTGCGGGGAGCAGGAATGGGCCGGACCGGGCTGACGACGCGCACCCCTGGCTTGGTGCGGGGAGCAGGAACGGGCCGGACCGGGCTGACGATGCGCACCACAGGCTTGGTGCGGGGAGCAGGAACGGGCCGGGCCGGGCTGGCGACGTGCACCATAGGCTTGGTGCGGGGAGCAGGAACAGGCCGGGCCGGGCTGGCGACGCGCACCATTGGCTTGGTGCGAGGGGCAGGAACAGGCCGGGTCGGGCTGGCGACGCGCACCATTGGCTTGGTGCGGGGAGCAGGAACAGGCCGGGCCGGGCTGGCGACGCGCACCATTGGCTTGGTGCGAGGGGCAGGAACAGGCCGGGTCGGGCTGGCGACGCGCACCATTGGCTTGGTGCGGGGAGCAGGAACAGGCCGGGCCGGGCTGGCGACGCGCACCATAGGCTTGGTGCGGGGAGCAGGAACGGGCCAGACCGGGCTGACGACGCGCACCACAGGCTTGGTGCGGGGAGCAGGAACGGGCCGGACCGGGCTGACGACGCGCACCACAGGCTTGGTGCGGGGAGCAGGAACGGGCCGGGCCGGGCTGGCGACGCGCACCACAGGCTTGGTGCGGGGAGCAGGAACCTTTGCCCATGGTCCTCTGCCCTCGAACATGTCCTCCCAGGACCACCATTTGCCCACCTGGGCCATCGCCAACTTCTCCATCTCCTTACCCGGCGTTAGCTCCGAAACACGCTGCTTGGTCCAGTATTGGTGGGATCTTCTGTCACGATCATCAAAAGGAGTGGACCAATGCGCAGCGTGGAATGCGAACATCTTTATTAAATATACACTACACGAACAAAAACAACAAAACGATACGTGAAGTCCTCGGTCACATACACAAACCTACACGGAACAAGATCCCACAATACACTGTGCCAAACAGGCTGCCTAAGTATGGTTCCCAATCAGAGACAACAAGCAACAGCTGATTCTCGTTGCCTCTGATTGAGAACCACCCCGGCCAACATAGATACACATGAACTAGATCCTAACATAGAAACACAAACACATAGAATCTACACACCCTGGCTCAACATATAAGAGTCCCAGAGCCAGGGCGTGACACACACAGGATATCATCTTCATACAGATCCACACACACAGGATATAATCTTCATACAGATTCTTCTTTTACAGATTACATTCAACCCATCTGTCTGCCACGAAGTGACCAGCAGTTTGAGGCTGGGAGGAACTGTTTCATTGCAGGCTGGGGAGCAGAAGCAGAGCAAGGTAGGACTCTGGTGTCACTCAGTGAGTTAGTTCACGGTGGCATTAACAGGTTCATCTGAGGATGTGGCTGATGAAAACCGCTGTACAATTTAACTGTATCATTATTATTATTAATATTAATATTATTATTATGTGCCTGTAAATGTTGAAATGCCCTCCAGGCACAGTAGCTAATGTGCTACAACAGGCAGTGCTGCCCCTGGTGAGCCGGTCTGATTGTCAGAAACTGTTGCCTGAGTACAACATTACAGCCAGGATGGTGTGTGCCGGCTACTCTGAGGGGGGAGTGGACTCCTGCCAGGTACATTTTAATGGTCATAACCCTCTGTGGGCAGTTATAGCATGTTTATGACTGTAAACCACGCTGCATTTCTGTGAAAGAACTACACCAGGAAAATGTTCAGATAGTATTACTGTCCCAAGGCAGCAGTGGATAGAATACTGCCCCCAAGGCAACACTGGATAGTAAAGTTTGGGTATTTGTGTGATGTACAATGAATGCCACCTGTACACAATGCCATTGAATCACAGTTCGTAGTATCCATGTACAGTGTGTGAGAATTCTGTCCACTGACTGTGTCGTCCTGTTGTTTTAGGGGGACTCTGGAGGTCCTCTCATGTGTGAGGAGGATGGCCACTGGGTGCAGGTGGGCGTGATTTCTTTTGGTGTGGGGTGTGGCCGCCCCCAGCGCCCTGGTGTGTACGCCCTGGTCTCCCAGTTCACTGACTGGATCGTCCAGACCAGACGGCTCTCCTGACACTGGGGACACTGGGATTACAGGCTCCAGGAAAACAGAACATTCAGTGCTGAATTAGGATCATATGCTGTCTTGATTACTAAATCAATCAATGCTTTTGAATAAGTGCAATGGTGTAACGCAGCTTTACAGGGATATTCAAAATATGTTAAAAAAACAACAACAATAAAATGCATTTCTATGCTCTTTTAGACTTCCTATGGCTGTGCCTTCTTACTGTCAATAAATGTTTACATATTTCCTATCCCTTTTCAAGTCATTGAATGGTAAAAGTGTGGGCTGAGTAATTAGAATGCTTATGGACTGTATACACTGAGTATACCATACATTATGAACACCTTCCTAATATTGAGTTGCACCCCCCCTTTTGCCCTCAGAACAGTATCAATTCGTCGGGGCCTGGACTATACAAGGTGTCAAAAGCGTTCCACAGGGATGCTGGCCCATGTTGACTGCAATGCTTCCCATAGTTGTGTCAAGTTGGCTGGATGTCCTTTGGGTGGTGGACCATTCTTGATACACACAGGAAACTGTTGAGCATGAAAAACCCAGCAGCGTTGCAGTTCTTGACACAAACCGGTGCGCCTGGCACCTACCATACCCCGTTCAAAGGCACTTATATATTTTGTCTTGCCCATTCACCTTCTGAATGGCACACATACACAATCCATGTCTCAAGGCTTAAAAATCCTTCTTTAACCTGTCTCGTCCCCTTCATCTACACTTACTGAAGTGGATTTAACAAAAGACATCAATAAGGGATCATAGCTTTCACCTGGATTCACCTGGTCAGTCTATGTCATGGAAAGAGCAGGTATTCTTAATGTTTTGTATACTCAGTGTATGTTGTCACTGTTCTGAGTGAGGAGTGTGTTGCACACCAGGTGGAAAATACAGGGATTATGTATCCTATGCTTCTCACCACGACTAGACGACACGCCCAAGGATCTGGCTGATTGTAGATAACATCAGCGACTGCCCTGGAGTCAAACAGAGTGCTGTGCAGTGAGAGGGTGTAACCTGTTCTGTTCTCAGCTGACCAGCGACGTGGATATACCTGCATGGAGTTCTGTTTGTTCTTCTAGCATGAAGGGAGGGACAGACTAAAACACTGAGTGCTCTGCAATGGGAAGACGCAGACTGTAGAACATCAGTGGTTTGGTTAGCTAAATGTCTGATTATCAGTTTCCTTTCAACTTACATTCTATCTCCTTTATCACCTCACTTGCCAAACTGAAGTGGAATCAGTTAGTGATTGCCACCAAGTTAGGAACTATGACAGTGTGTAATGTGAACTTGGATCTAGGTTTCCTAAGCAATGAAGAGGCACATGCGGTTGTTGAAGTTCTAGAGAGAGACAAGCGTCTAAAGGAGATTGAAAAGGAGAGGATCGGGTAAGTAAGACTGTATACTTTACTGTAAAATAACTGCATTTGATTTTTTAAAGTTGGATTTGAGATGAAAAGGCAAGCTGCTTGAATCGTGGGTTTCTGTCTGTCTTTCTCTCTCTGTGTGTGTGTGTGTGTGTGTGTGTGTGTGTGTAGCTACATACTTTATATCTGACTAATCATTTATATATGTGTGCTCACCAGACGTCTGCTTGAGCAGCGGGGGGACAGAAAGTCTGTATTAGGATGGCCAGAGAACCTGAGAAACCAACAGACTAACAAGTGCAGTGTCCATCCATCCCAGTCACCACACAGCACTAACACAGGTGAGGACAGACCACCAGATACACTGTCTACACCAGTGGAGGCTGCTGAGGGGGGAACGGTTCATAGTAATGTCTGGAACGGTGCAAATGGGTTGGCATCAAACACCTGGAAACCATGTGTTTGATGTATTTGATACCATTCCACTGATTCCGCTCTAGTCATTACCATGAGCCTGTTCTCCCCAATTAAGGTGCCACCAGCCTCCTGTGGTCTACACACACTGATGCATGTATACACAGGGGAGCAACATCCACTGGGTACGGGGGGGACATATCCCCCCCACATTCTGAAATTGCATTTTTGTCCCCCCCAGTTTTATCATTGGAATGTGATACAAAACGAGGCAACGGTGTGCTTTAGGACCATGCGGACGCCTATAAGCGGTCGGGTAGTCTGTTTGAGTGTTTATCCGACTGGATAATTTTTAAAAATATATATTAAAGTAAATATGTCCCCCCCACTTCTAAAACAAAAGTTGTGCCCCTGTGTATGCACATGGGTGGCAGAACACAGTGCTATAGAGTTTCAGCTCTGTCTGTGGGAATGGACACAGAACTTTTCGTCACACCCCACAGTAAATGAGAAGGCTTATATTCCTACCTGAGATGGAGGAAACGTCCATTCCCAGAGGCACAGAAACCTGTACAATATCACGATTATTGTGAATAGTCAGATTAATATCATAGTTCGATTTCAACGTTTACATGCTTTGCAAGAAGAACGATTTCCCTAATAATCCTGTTTATATGGACACATCTGAAATCAGGCTACCTGATAGGACTTTGATAAATGCAGAAAATCGGGAATCAAAATAAACGTTGTTTACATGACTAATGCTATAACCGGCCTACTGCCATAATCAATTTCATATCGAATGATTTGTGTGTCTGTAAACGTACTCACTGTGTTTCATATGTAACATTACCAACTATGAAGCTCCTGGTCCTGATGCCAGGAACTGCTCTGGTTCTACAGGGTTAAAAGTGTCCTCATAACTTAACAGATGTGTCATAACATGACTCTTTCCATATACTGTAATTATCTGTATATGTACTTATGGTTAATTGTTAACTTGCTCTGTTGATGACTGGCTAGACGTATGTTAGGGAGAATAATCACTATTATGTATTACATGTAACATGAACTGTAACCCTGAAACCCTACCTCTTCAAATAAATGTATCTTAAATAAATCCCACAAAAAATAAAGAAAACAATCTGCACTTGTCCTTTCCTACTAGCACTGACTTTGCTATGAACTACTTTATTGAGTTAAAATGTACTTACTACGACTGTGATATGTGGTTGTCTCACCTAGCTATCTTTAGATGAATGCACTAATTGTAAGTGGCTCTGGATAAGAGCGTCTGCTAAATGACTAAAATGCTAAATGTAAGGTGAGCCATTGACCCAGAAATGGCCTGAAATTGCCCTTAGGACAAGCGATGACTAATTAGATGCCAGAGCAATGTAAGAGATGGAATCTGATCTGCTACTCCTGCAATGAGAGCATGACTAGGTCACTACTGGTTACCTAACTGTAGATATTGCTGCTACTCATAAGGTTTGCAGGGTCAGGTTAGTCAGTCAAGCCCATACAGTCCTACTCTTTATCATTGGCTATCATAGTTGGTAACTCAGTGCTGCTTGTCCTGAGTGATATTTCAACACATTGTCATTCTACAGAGCAGCAAACTGTGAGAAGTAAGCCAATGAAAGGGAAGGATGACGGTAGCGGAAGACATACAACTCTGCGAGCCCGTCTCAGCTCCATGTTCAGCCTCAGGGTCCCTATGAGGGGCAGCAGAGACCCTGGAGGGAAAAACAACAGCCATAACAATGGGTGAGCCTTTGTACCAAATAAGTAGCTAGTACACTTACAAACATGGTGGAAACATGCAGATTACTGTACAACAGTTTTCAGAGTATGAAATTAAGGTACAATTGTATTCTAATGCATGCTTTATCCCCATCCCCTAGGGTTAGCAACATCCCCTCATCTGGAGGACAAAGCTTCAAAGACAAGAGTACTGAGGCAAAGCATGTGGAGGAGCAAATAGGTGAGCTTGCAGAGGAGCCTAACAAGGAGGTGCACACAGAGGAGAAGCTCACCAATGAGGTGCACACAGAGGAGGAGCTCACCAAGGAGATGGACACAGAGGAGGAGCTCACCAAGGAGATGGACACAGAGGAGGCACACACAGAGGTGGCACACAGAGAGAAGGAGCTCACAGAGGAACCTGCAAAGGAGGAGCCCATTGAGGATCATTCAGTGGAGTCTAATAAGGTACAGACTAGAGCATAATGGTCCTCAGTAGGTGTGTAGTAACCAGTGCCTGGGTGTTCCCCTCACCTTTGGGCCTATAATCTCCTTGTAAAGTATTGCTTTCCGCACTGCATCAAAGTTCTCGTATTTCACACACCCCCTTCAGGGAGCCTTTTCAACACCTGGGTGTATCCTCAACAGGTTTCCACGCCTATGACACATGCTTGGGTAAACTCAGCAGCTTGTGACAGTTCTTGAGAACATATTCTAACCTATTCTCCTATATCTCTCTGTCATGTAATTTAGCTTGATAACATGTTTGCACTCACAACCACATTTATTTGATGAACCAAAATATTGATTAATTGGGAGTTGCACAAATTGTTGAGTTATTATGAGATTGGTCCATAGCTTTTGATGAACTCACGGATCAAAGGTTGACTGCAAATATTGATTAATATCCCTCTATTGTATGTTTGCACCAGGCATAGCAGGTGATTTGCATACTTAAACTATTTATCTCTGTCTCTCTGTCTCTCTCTCTCTCTCTCTCTCTCTCTCTCTCTCTCTCATTTACAGGTGATAGGACCTGCTGCCTCCCCTGAGGGTGAAACAGGGAAGAGAAGAACATATCTACTGGAAACAGGTGGAAAGCAGGAGAGCTCCACAGGTGTGTAATAGCTCCAGTCCTCCCCTGGTTCTTTACTAAAGGACAGATAGTAAACTGTGTTTTATGATTGCAGCTACAGTGGCTCCCAGTTGGGTGGGGGAGTGAAACAGACACTTAAACAGTTCACTTGAGCATTCTGTAACTCATGTACACACAAATCGAGCCATATATACGTTCAGCTGTGGTGGGTACTGTGGGGGTACTGTTTGGTGTACTCAGTGTATATACATACTTAATCAAGAAATTAGATTATATCTCTCTCAAAGAGGCTGGTTTCCTAGCAAATAAATGGTTAATAAAATTGTGAACAACTGTGTCAAAGGTGAATGTACCAATCTCATTCTCTTCTATGGACATAGGTCAGGCTCACTGCAGCAGCTATCAGAGAGAGGACCAAATAAGTTCTGGAGTGACTGAACCAGCGTTAGCACCACGGTCAGCCAGCCACCCACCAGTGAAGCATGAGGATCCTACATCTATCCCTAGGAGAGGAGAACACATCCAACCATCAGCTGAATTGAAAACGTCTATTCGCTTTAGCCCAAATCTGAGCATATTTAGCTGCCCGATCCGCCCCCACCACTCTGACATCTCCTCCCCCTTCCTTGCACCTCAAGAGCAGTCCCTGCCCAGGACTGACACTGTGGAGAGTCTTTCCCCTGAGGTTACGAACATTCCCTTTCACAGCCCACATCGACCACCAAAACTTCAGTCTTCTGACTTGAAGAGGAGACAGCTTCAGAAGGCCTCTGGTCGGGCCGTAACACCATATCGCCATTTGTCCTTGATCAGGCCATGGAGTGTGGAGTCACCAGGAACATTCTCCTTGCTAAGACCAAGCAACTCCACCACACTGCCCACCTCCCATCATGTAGAGACCCAGGCTGAAGCTTCTGGCCTCTCCTCCAACCTCACCTCCGTCCTCCCCTCCAATCTCTCCTCCGACCTCCCCTCCGACCTCCCCTCCAACCTCCCCTCTAGCCTCCCCTCCTCCTCTGACCACCAAGAGAGTCCAGTCACCTTGAGACAGCACATTTCAAGTAGTCATCTCACCTTGTTCCCTCCCACTGACCTACAGTGTTTCCCACCCCAGAGCCTCAGCAGAACCCTGCCTCATACTACACAGTCTCATTACCCTCTTGGATATAGGACCAGATTAAGCTCATCTTTGATATTTAACTCTCTCTCCTTGTCTAAGAACACTTTAGGTACAGCAACTGAAAGTCCAAAATACTTTAACAGGGCCAAGTCACTTGATAGACATTTAACCAAGGCTGTATCTATGGATACCGCTGGTGACAATCACTCCACCTACTCGCCACCCAGTAACACAAGATGGATGTCATCTTCTGAGAGAATCAACATGTTGGCGAAGCAGCCTAACTTAGCAGCCCAGGTTGGTTTATCAAAAGCGATCAGCCAACAGAGGAATCTGCAGACTAATGCCTCCGTTCAATCTAATAACCAAAGAATGTTCAAGCACCATGCATATTATTCAGGTGTATATGACACAGGACATTCTCTCTCCAGCCTCAGCTCCAGGGCCTCCCACAGGCTTCAGTCACCTCTTCACAGCCCCCCAGTTTCACCAGATCATATGACTAATCTCACGAGATCCTATGGCGGTACACACAGTGCCCCAGCAGACACAAAACGTTTGATGATAGGGGAAAAAATTAAAGTGATTGGTTCAGAGATTATTGATAGTAAAATACATCATATCAGTGAGCTTAAATGGCAGACTTCAAATAAGGATTTGTTTGCATTTCGGATTAGAAATGCAGGTCTGCCTGCTCAGGACGCAAGTCTTACCTCTGAGAGAACTGAAAAAGAGCCCACTGGTTACAGAAGCAACCGGAAAGTAGATCAGATACTGAATCGCCTCAGAATGATATTCAGTAGCAAACGTATTGAGGAAAAGAGTATGTTGTTTGGTAGAAAGGGGAAAACGGTGCCATCAACACTTGAGGGAGCTAGTGTCATCAATGAGAATAGACGGACAGGGAAGAGGTCTCCAGAGATCAAAGAAGTGCTGAAACCCACTGACCTTCAACATAATGTGGCAGGTCATCTAAGACAACAAAACAGAGGCTGCCATGGGCTGACAATTTCCACAGTTAAATTAGCATCCAAGGATGCACAGTTAGATATTCATGACAAAGAGAGGAACACAATATCAACTGAGAAAAATGGAAACCCATCGCTGTCAAAAGAAGAATTAAGTAGAACAAATCATCCACATTCACCCTATTTTAGTAGTCAATCCCATAAGGATTCTGCAAGTTCTAGAACCAGTCATTTTAGCCTCAACACAAATAATGAAGATGTCTTCTCTAGCTCATTAGGTAAGGACAGTAGATCAGATAGGCGTAGAGCTGCCTGTTTTAAACCCACACAGCTGTCATACTCCAACAACTCTCCAACCACTACTGATTTTGGCCTGAAACATGGCCGCTCCATCTCTGTCAACAACATTTACTCAAACAGAACATCAAGAAACAGGCGCATCTCCACAGGAACTGATATGGCCCCCACAAGGGCCCTAAGGAGTCTGGAGGATATCAGAGGGCCAGGGGACCTTGATAGCCCACCCAGAACCCTTCCCAGAGCTTTCTCTAGCACTCATAAAACTTATTTTAGTCTAATGAAAACAGACAGCATCCTAAGCCCTAAGAACCTGACATTGCCTATGCCTCTACAGTTCAATGAGTCATCGACTTTGCCCACAGAGATTTTAAACTCACTTATCATTGATCAGAAGTCGCAAGTCATTCTAGGCCCCATGGAACTACTGCCCATCATGAGCTCCAGTTTGTCAGACTTAGAGGAGTATGACTCAGATACCACTACAGATGGAGAGTACTACTTGAGCAGCGATGATTGGGAGAAAGAGTCAATACTCTAGCAAAGGGCGACCATTTTGAGTAACATTGTGTACATTTATTGAATCCATGTTGATGAGACACACATAAACATGCTGAACGCAGGAATTTTTCATGATGTATTTTTATTTCAGTCTGAGAGATCAAAAGCCAACTTCATCACATCTCCTCCACCATTGCACACATATACACAATTAATCATTGAATTGGTTAAATAATTTAATCATTAATAATAATAATAATATGCCATTTAGCAGATGCTTTCATCCAAAGCGACTTACAGTCAAGTGTGCATACATTTTAACGTAATCAGTAGTCATTTAAACAATCATTTAACGTTTTAGCCTATTTCATGTTGCTTTATGAATAGTGTGCGTAAGCGGCACTAATGTTTGGATTCCAGTGGACTACACCGAGGATATTTTCATGGTTCACTACCAAATATGGTAGTGAGAGGCAGCTCAGTGATTGGCAGTGGGAGAAGATGGAAGGAGAAGGATTTAGGCCGACATTCTGCAAATTTTCTCATCGATGAAACATTTCATCTCAATACAGTTTTCTGTTCCCAAAACTAAAATATTTTATGAACAGAGTGGACTAAGTTTTGTAGACTTTACCCTTTGCCAAATTTGTAAAAAAAAAACGCGTTGTTTAGGAGTGGAAAGGCGAATTGAGTTATTGCACATGCGCACTTCACAGAGTAGGCGTTCCCTAACGGAAATATGCCGATGATGCTAGAACGCGCCAATAGGATCTCGCTAGCTCGTGCTAGGCTCTGCCCACCTCCTTGCTTGTTCCCATTGGAAACGACATGTATTTTTTAAAAAACATTTTTAGTAATTTAGCAGACGCTCTTATCCAGAGCGACTTACAGTTAGTGAGTGCATACATGGCCCCCGTGGGAAACGAACCCACAACCCTGGCGTTGCAAGCGCCATGCTCTACCAACTGAGCTACAGTGGTCTATCTTGGTTTATCTTTGCCTAACCCTAACATAAAAATGTTAACGTTCAACTTCAATGGGGGTGGGGACGTCCCTAGGAACCAGTATAGCACGGACCCTGAAAAAAATTAAATAACGTCTGGTGTAATTAAAAGGGAGTAATATACGGCATTCTTCTGTATTATACCATCGATAATTGGTCTGTGTAAACAAATAATTTTTCCTGTGTGTATTTCATCAAACTTCCTCAATACACACGAGTCCATACATCATGCAATCACACTCGGCCAAATCAAAACTTCACCCCCTTCTGAAGATGAGATGCTGCATGTAAAATTGGGACACTAAAAATAAATATTAGTTAGGTAGCTAGGTACTTTCCGTTTTGTCAAGCTAGTGAAGTCCGTCATGAAAAATGTCGTGTTTGGGGTCCAGGACTCGACCCTAAAGTTGTTTTGCACGTTCGATACTTCATCATCCAGGCTGTCAACTCAGCTGGGGAAAACGTAACCCTCTCCAGGTAAGTGTTTGTGAATAGATGAATAATTGTCTAAAGCAGAGAGGAAGAGGCTCTTTGTCTATGTCAATTATTTCAAGAATTTCATTTCCTCATCTGCTGGTCCGTCCCTTATTAAAGTTATCTTTGGGGAAACTGTTTAGTAACCCATCCTTTTGAAGGCATTTCACCCCAAGATCAATTGAGATCTCATACAATGGGGAGTTTGTCATCAAATAAACTACTTGTTTTTGTTGCTGTAGCCTATGTTTTATTGATGCACAAAATCGAACTCTTAAACAATGTCCATGATTGAGGACCCCTTTATTCCCCCTATATAGCTTAATATTTGCAGGTTGAACATTACTCTAATTGTCCCTATGGTTATGTTATTGTTCCCATAATAGAGGTGATTTAACTACTTTTGATCTCCTCTTTACATGTAGGTAAAGACTCGTTCAGAGTGAAGATTACCTCACTCTCACAGAAGGAGCATGTCCGCATCCACACCCCCCTTCCCCTAGACAGAGGCGATGGTTCCTTTCTGATGAGGTACCGTATGGCAGATTAGTGTGATCACTTGAGAGAAAATACCAGTTAATTCATCATCTAAGTCTGCCTGTTTGAATAATATAGATAGCAGTATGTTGATCTGTTATCTATTCTCACTGATTCCACGTGATGCTGCACCCTGTTGGTTTTATGTCCTCAGGCCCAGCCTATCATGAGTACTGTGACTGCCCAGAGCGCAGTGGCGATTTTAGCATGTACATTTCGGTGGGGCAAACTCCCCAAATTTTTTAAATATGCATGCCAGCAAAGCCACTACACAACACAACACTAAACAATACATTAATTGCACTATAACAGTGACAAACGGTGCCCACAAACTGTTAGGGCCTACATAAAGCTGTCCCAACAGCAGAGTCCCAACAGCAGTTCCTACACCATACCACTGCTGCACCTGGCTGTCAGCGGAGCCTTGTCTGGCAGCGAAACAGTTAATTCAGCCTCATTTACCTCAGTTCATTCTGCCTCAAAACATTTATTTTATAATTATTTTTAATGATAAACAGGTGGTGCTCGAGCCCCACCTGCCCTGAATGACGGGTCGCCACTGTCAGAGCGTGATGTTCGCACCTGGCAGAACATCATACAGTGTCCTGCTGAGGAGCCCCAGATCCTGAGGGACTTCATTGTCTTCCCCTCCATTGACCTGCAGCGCCGCCTACAGGAGGTTCCCCGTCAGTTCTCGAACAGAGGAGGTCTCATTCACTATGCTGTAATTGACAACCAGGTGTACCGCAGCTCCCTGGGAAAATACATTGACTTTAAGATGTTCTCAGATGAGATGTTCCTCTCACTATCCAGGAAGGTAAAAAGTTGCTTTGTTTTTTTGTGTCATTGCATATGTACACTATTAGTTAAAGGTGGGTTTGTGTGCTGGTCTCCGTCCTTTCATCTATAAGTATGATCATGGTCCTTTCTTAATTGTCCGATGGCACTTATTTTGTCACTCACCAAAAACACACATAATAACATATTTTCAATATCTTTAAAATTGTTCAGTGCATTGTGCTGCATAAACTGAGCTCAATCTGTCAATTTAAACTGACAGGTGAGGCTGCCTGATGTGGAATTTTACATCATTGTGGGAGACTGGCCAATGGAAACAAGGAAAGTAGATGAAATTCCTGGGCCTGTTCCAATCATCTCCTGTTGCGGTTCCACAGACACCCGAGACACATCTTCCCCACCTACAACATCACTCACTCCACCCTGGAGACCCTGAGGGGCGTTTCCAATGACCTGCTGTCAGTCCAGGGCAACACAGGTAAGACATATTACTATGTGTTATTCATTACCATAACTGTAAAAAATATATTGGATGAATACAATATTATAACAATTGTTGCAAAATAGATTGGTTGCTTTTTGGACTCTTCTAAAGACACTGTGATTGTGCAATTAAACGACCTATTTTCTTGGACGGTACTGTTGTGAAAAACAGGCATTTTATTCGAACATTGATGCTCCATCAGTAATGTCTATAACTAGGGCTCAAATTCACACGTGCCATTTAACAAAAAAGAGAGGGGGCACCCGGATTTGAACCGGGGACCTCTTGATCTGCAGTCAAATGCTCTACCACTGAGCTATACCCCCATATGTTCGTTAGCAGGAATGTTTTAGCATATATAGCTACATCCGTCACAATTCAGCGACGATACTTTTTTTGATTATAAAAAAAGTAATGTACATTATTATGATATTGACTTCACTTTCGACTGCTTGTGATTAGATTTCCTAGACAATGTACTCTGGTTTTGGCCATAGTCAATAGCTACAGTTAAGAGACAAACCATAAACCAAGTAGCTATCTAGCAGCAAGCTAGTAGTAGCTAGCGACCCAGGGAGGAGTAGGTTATTTCTCGAGACTGGAAAAAGATGGCGGAAGCGGACGATGAAGTGGATTCTGAATCCAATGGCGGTAGAATCAAGGACAATTGGAGAATGTTGTCCAAAAGAATGGAAAACGGAGCAAGGTAGTGTACAGTGATGAGAATATCCCTTCGTATCTAGTAGGAGTACGGTTTGTTAATGAGGAACAGCTGAGCAGATTACAAATCTTGAAGAAACCATTTGAGTTAACCAAACTGTTGGAGGTGGGCTGGGTAAAGTGTGAGGATCACTAGAGGCGGGCTTGTTTAGATTTTTTTGTGTGCTTCTGCGGATCAGAAGGAACCCGACTTGATACATTTGAAGTGTAGTGTGTGTCTCAGGAACAGGCACCCCTCAAGGGGGTTATATCTGGCGTCTCGTGGAAAGTCGATTTTGAAGAGATTAAAAATATTCCTGTAGTGATTGATGCACGTCGGATGAATCGTGTGGTGAATGGTGAAAAAGTTAAGGGTATCTGTTTTGTTTTTTGATATGGAGTCTCTCCCTACTCAAGTGCAGTTGGGGTATATAAACTACAGAGTCAGAGCATTTATCCCAAGACCAATGCAGTGTTATCATTGTAAAGCTTTTGGTCATGTTTCAAGTGTTTGCAGAAGGGAGAAGCTCAGATGTCCAAGTTGTGGAAAATATCATTATCATGTGTTTTAAAAGTGAGGAATATGTGACATGTTGCAATTGTGGTGGGAACCATGAAGCTACATCTTTCGATTGCCCAGCAAGGGTGAAAGAGAATGAGGTGGCCAAGTCAGGGCTGTCCAGAGCATTTCATATGCAGCAGCTGTTAAACGGGTTGAGGGTTTGAATGGTGCTCCTGAAGAGTCCATGGTGGTGGATAGGCCTTCACCAGCAGGACCCTGACATTTCAAATCAAATTGTATTTGTCACATGCGCCGAATACAACAGGTGTAGACCTTACAGTGAAATGCTTACTTACAAGCCCTTAACCAACAATGCAGTTTTAAGAAAAATAGGTGTTAAGTAAACAATAGATAAGTAAAAAATTAAAGCAGTAAAATAACAGTAAAAATAACAGTAGCGAGGCTAAATGATTTTCCCACAAATTGACAGGTATTTCTTATAAGCGTCAGTGACTGATGTGTACTCCTCAATGCCATTGGAAGAATCCCAGAACATATTCCAGTCTGTGCTAAAAAAACCTGTAGTTCGCTGTAGTCATTAAAGGTAGAGTGGACTTGTGGCTTTATACTGTGATATGCACTGCAGTTTTGAAAGTTTTCAAGAAGGTGAGACATTGGGCTTTTTATTGCATGTATTAGATATATGGTGTAGGAATGGCAATGCATTGTTCTAAGAGAAGAAGTCCAGTTGAACCAGAGAAGATAGTATACTCATTGTGTTGATGTCGGCGGAGCGTTGTACCTGGGACAGAAAAAACAGTCTCGGCGGAGGAGTAGGAGTTACGTGGAAATTGTCACAAGCACCGTACCACCCTCTCAGGCCCTAGAGCCTGAGAAAGCGGGATATGGGAGATTTGAAAGAAGGAAGAAGTGGAGTTTGTTTTGTGTTTGTCAATGTACATTCTTTATTTGGGTGGATATAAGGTTTAGTTTCCCTATCGCATGGATTTTCTTTTTACCTTGTTTTGGTTTTACAACCCGTCCAGTTGGTGGCGGCAATACACCTTTTTGGGTTGTAGTCCGCTATAAAACCCACAGAAGAAGAAGAAGGTAGCGACCCAGAGCCTCTGCACCGTTACCGGAAGCACTGTAACATTAGCCAGCCAGCGCTATTGAATGACTAGACAGCAGTCTTTTTACGATATGGCCAATTTTGCGGATGTGGTAACTAGTGGAAATCATGGTGATTATTTTGAGTAGTTTGCTAACTTTGTAATTTACAATTATTCGAACCCAGTGCCATATAGCATATTACTATACAAAAAACATTCCATATTGACCCCATTTTGAGAGGTCAACGACAATGTTGCAGTTAGCAGCTAACACAAGCTAGCTTTGTTTGTTCCATACTAGCTCAAGAACACAAGGGGACCTTACAGCCAGCTCGCTATATGTTACCGTCTATTTGGATGGGATAGGTCCATACATACATACATACTAACTAGCTAGTCAGCTGCAACATCAAGCAAGAAAAACAAACAAAAAACCAGTAACATCAAGTTCTCTAGCCTAGGTCTAGACCTGGGGTCTCCAACTTCTAGCATGAGAGCTACTTTGAAAAAATTAAACATGTCGCAGGAGTTACTCATTTTCATATTTTTATATAACTTTTAAATAGGCTTCACCTCTAACCCTGCAACTTGTCCCTGGGTCATTGGTGTACAAGAGGTGTCAATATACATGGTAAAAATAATGCTTAATAAACAGTATTCAGCATGCCAGGCCCCATAAAAGTATATTGTATTTTCCTGAATTCTGTTTACTCTTTAGTTTTTTACTCTCAATAGTACAATTATTCATAGAAAAACAACGAAAATGGATGTTCTGAGTCCATGTAATTGCTTAAATCACACCAGAAGACAATGTTTTAGGTCTGGAAAAAAAACGAACACATTTTGATTTGAGTGTAATTCCCCTTTAATTGTGCATCTAGCAAGAGAGGAATGTGTAGGTCTAGTGATGTTTCTGTTAGGCCTACTGCTGCAGCACATGTCATGGCAGAGTTGGTAAAACAATGGCCATCCAATTGACAAATAATCATGATATAGTTCTGTCAAGTAAGCCTACTTTATGGTTAACATTTCATTGGGAAGGTTATTGGGGCAAGTCTTTCTGTCTACCCACAATACCGTTATCATTAGCATCAGTAAATGGCTGCATGGTGATAAACAAACGCGTGCACCAAACAGACAGACAGGCAATATTGCTGGAAATTAATTGGCAGATATTGTGTTACGTTAATAGTGACAAACCAGGGGTGGGATAATGTCAATGTGGCTTTGATTGGATAGTAGCCGAGAGCGTTATGTTTATGACAGTTTGCGATGGAATGAATGAAAAAATGCATGTACAGTGGGGAAAAAAAGTATTTAGTCAGCCACCAATTGTGCAAGTTCTCCCACTTAAAAAGATGAGAGGCCTGTAATTTTCATCATAGGTACACGTCAACTATGACAGACAAAATGAGATTTTTTTCTCTCCAGAGAATCACATTGTAGGATTTTTAATGAATGAATTTGCAAATTATGGTGGAAAATAAGTATTTGGTCACCTACAAACAAGCAAGTTTTCTGGCTCTCACAGACCTGTAACTTCTTCTTTAAGAGGCTCCTCTGTCCTCCACTCGTTACCTGTATTAATGGCACCTGTTTGAACTTGTTATCAGTATAAAAGACACCTGTCCACAACCTCAAACAGTCACACTCCAAACTCCACTATGGCCAAGACCAAAGAGCTGTCAAAGGACACCAGAAACAAAATTGTAGACCTGCACCAGGCTGGGAAGACTGAATCTGCAATAGGTAAGCAGCTTGGTTTGAAGAAAGCAATTGTGGGAGCAATTATTAAGAAATGGAAGACATACAAGACCACTGATAATCTCCCTCGATCTGGGGCTCCACGCAAGATCTCACCCCGTGGGGTCAAAATGATCACAAGAACGGTGAGCAAAAATCCCAGAACCACACGGGGGGACCTAGTGAATGACCTGCAGAGAGCTGGGACCAAAGTAACAAAGCCTACCATCAGTAACACACTACGCCGCCAGGGACTCAAATCCTGCAGTGCGAGACGTGTCCCCCTGTTTAAGCCAGTACATGTCCAGGCCCATCTGAAGTTTGCTAGAGTGCATTTGGATGATCCAGGAGAGGATTGGGAGAATGTCATATGGTCAGATGAAACCAAAATAGAACTTTTTGGTAAAAACTCAACTCGTCGTGTTTGGAGGACAAAGAATGCTGAGTTGCATCCAAAGAACACCATACCTACTGTGAAGCATGGGGGTGGAAACATCATGCTTAGGGGCTGTTTTTCTGCAAAGGGACCAGGACAACTGATCCGTGTAAAGGAAAGAATGAATGGGGCCATGTATCGTGAGATTTTGAGTGAAAACCTCCTTCCATCAGCAAGGGCATTGAAGATGAAACGTGGCTGGGTCTTTCAGCATGACAATGATCCCAAACACACCGCCCGGGCAACGAAGGAGTGGCTTCGTAAGAAGCATTTCAAGGTCCTGGAGTGGCCTAGCCAGTCTCCTGATCTCAACCCCATAGAAAATCTTTGGAGGGAGTTGAAAGTCCGTGTTGCCCAGCGACAGCCCCAAAACATCACTGCTCTAGAGGAGATCTGCATGGAGGAATGGGCCAAAATACCAGCAACAGTGTGTGAAAACCTTGTGAAGACTTACAGAAAACGTTTGACCTGTGTCATTGCCAACAAAGGGTATATAACAAAGTATTGAGAATCTTTTGTTATTGACCAAATACTTATTTTTCACCATAATTTGCAAATAAATTCATTAAAAATCCTACAATGTGATTTTCTGGATTTTTTTTCTCATTTTGTCTGTCATAGTTGACGTGTACCTATGATGAAAATTAGAGGCCTCTCTCATCTTTTTAAGTGGGAGAACTTGCACAATTGGTGGCTGACTAAATACTTTTTTCCCCCACTGTATACTGAACCAAAATATAAACGCAACATGCAACAATTTCAAAGATTTTGCTGAGTTACAGTTCATATAAGGAAATCAGTCAATTTAAATGAATGAATTAGGCCCTAATCTATGGATCTCCCATGACTGGGAAGGGGCCCACCCACTTGGGAGCCAGGCCGACCCACTGGGGAGCCAGGCCCAGCCAATCAAAATGAAAATTTCCACACAAAAGGGCTTTATTACAGACAGAAATACTCCTCAGCATCCCCCTCCCCCCTCTGACGATCCTGCAGGTGAAGAAGCCGGATGTGGAGGTCCTGGGCTGGCGTGGTTACACGTGGTCTGCGGTTGTGAGGCCGGTTGGACATACTGCCAAATTCTCTAAAACGACGTCTCTGGCAACAGCTCTGGTGGACATTTCTGCAGTCAGCATGCCAATTGCATGCTCCCTCAAAACTTGGGACATCTGTTGCATTGTGTTGTGTGACAAAACTGCACATTTTAGAGTGGCCTTTTATTGTCCACAGCACAATGTGCACCTGTGTAATGATCATGCTGTTTAATCAGCTTCTTGATATGCCGAACCTGTCAGGTGGATGGATTATCTTGACAAAGGATAAAATGCTCACTGACTGGGATGTAAACAAATTTGTGCACCAAATTTGAGCTAAATAAGCTTTTTGTGCGTATGGAAAATTTCGGGATCTTTTATTTCAGCTCATTATTTCTGTTCAGTATACTTTCAGAATTGCATGGGGAGCTACTCATAGGTGGGCTGTGAGCTACTGGCAACTCGCAATCTACCTCTTGGAGACCCCTTGTCTAGACCAATGCTGGTGGGAAGGAGCGTTGGGCCAGTAACCGAAAGGTTGCTGGATCGAATCCCCGAGCTGACAAGGTAAAAATCTGTCGTTCTGACATAATTGGTCTAGACCAGTCTAGGAATGTGCTAGCTAGTTAGCTTGCAAAATGTACTTAAGTAGTTAGCAAACTGATTGGAAGATTAATAGCTAGTTTTCAGTGTATTTGATTGTAATGTTACTTGCCTTATCGGCTCCCCAAAGATGGAGAAATTGAGCAATTAATTTAGCTCCTCTACATAGGAAAGGAGTGAAGTGAGTACAGTAGAGAGGTGCAGGTTGCCTCTAAACGCAACACAGATCTAGGGTCATCTTTCTCTACCGTAGCTAAATTAGTAGCTAGGTAACCTAATCAGCACTCAGAGGCAACTACATTAAAGTACATTTTCTACAGCCTGGTGTCTGTATGACTATGAAAATACTTCTCTGAATTGCAGAATTGTCGTGGACTATGTGCTCAAATGTAGGACAGTGTTCCAGTCACAGGTCTATGTCCCCAAGTGGGACCTTATGGTGTCCAGGACACGCTCCGAAGCAGGTGAGTGTCAGCCACAACACACCATTCAGGGGACACCTTTTTACTGATGCCAATTAAAAAGGTATTGGCCAAAGCCCATTTACTGATACCCAGTGATTCACACTGTATGTCTTGTGTTGCTGTCACTACAGGTTTTTCAGTGTGATGAATGAGCAGTTCCCCAGTTATCCACTGGAACTCTTAGAGAAAAACGTGAGACTTGTTGGTTTATAGTGGGCTGGTGCCTCACCCACACTGGCCCTACCTACTCACAAACAAAAAATGGATTTCATTGTCATTTTTTGTCAACGACCTACACAACATACTCTGTAATGTAAAAGTGGAAAACAATTTAGAACATTGTAAAAAAAATTACAACATTTTTTATTTACGCTAATATATCTACATTAGATACAGTGGGGAGAACAAGTAGTAGTTGTTACACTGCCGATTTTGCAGGTTTTCCTACTTACAAAGCATGTAGAGGTCTGTAATTTTTATCATAGGTACACTTCAACTGTGAGAGACGGAATCTAAAACAAAAATCCAGAAAATCACATTGTATGATTTTGAAGTAATTAATTTGCATTTTATTGCATGACATAAGTATTTGATACATCAGAAAAGCATAACTTAATATTTGGTACAGAAACCTTTGTTTGCAATTACAGAGATCATACGTTTCCTGTAGGTCTTGACCAGGTTTGCACACACTGCAGCAGGGATTTTGGCCCACTCCTCCATACAGACCTTCTCCAGATCCTTCAGGTTTCGGGGCTGTCGCTGGGCTATACAGACTTTCAGCTCCCTCCAAAGATTTTCTATTGGGTTCAGGTCTGGTGACTGGCTAGGCCACTCCAGGACCTTGAGATGCTTCTTACAGAGCCACTCCTTAGTTGCCCTGGCTGTGTGTTTCGGGTCGTTGTCATGCTGGAAGACCCAGCCACGACCCATCTTCAATGCTCTTACTGAGGGAAGGAGGTTGTTGGCCAAGATCTCGCAATACATGGCCCCATCCATCCTCCCCTCAATACGGTGCAGTCGTCCTGTCCCCTTTGCAGAAAAGCATCCCCAAAGAATGATGATTCCACCTCCATGCTTCATGGTTGGGATGGTGTTCTTGGGGTTGTACTCATCCTTCTTCTTCCTCCAAACACGGTGAGTGGAGTATAGACCAAAAAGCTATTTTTTTGTCTCATCAGACCACATGACCTTCTCCCATTCCTCCTCTGGATCATCCAGATGGTCATTGGCAAACTTCAGACGGGCCTGGACATGCGCTGGCTTGAACAGGGGGACCTTGCGTGCGCTGCAGGATTTTAATCCATGATGGCGTAGTGTGTTACTAATGGTTTTCTTTGAGACTGTGGTCCCAGCTCTCTTCAGGTCATTGACCAGGTCCTGCCGTGTAGTTCTGGGCTGATCCCTCACCTTCCTCATGATCATTGATGCCCCACGAGGTGAGATCTTGCGTGGAGCCCCAGACCAAGGGTGATTGACCGTCATCTTGAACTTCTTCCATTTTCTAATAATTGCGCCAACAGTTGTTGCCTTCTCACCAAGCTGCTTGCCTATTGTCCTGTAGCCCATCCCAGTCTTGTGCAGGTCTACAATTTTATCCCTGATGTCCTTACACAGCTCTCTGGTCTTGGCCATTGTGGAGAGGTTGGAGTCTGTTTGATTGAGTGTGTGGACATGTGTCTTTTATACAGGTAACGAGTTCAAACAGGTGCAGTTAATACAGGTAATGAGTGGAGAACAGGAGGGCTTCTTAAAGAAAAAGTAACAGGTTTGTGAGAGCCGGAATTCTTACTGGTTGGTAGGTGATCAAATACTTATGTCATGCAATAAAATGCAAATTAATTACTTAAAAATCATACAATGTGATTTTCTGGATTTTTGTTTTAGATTCCGTCTCTCACGGTTGAAGTGTACCTATGATAAAAATTACAGACCTCTACATGCTTTGTAAGTAGGAAAACCTGCAAAATCGGCAGTGTATCAAATACTTGTTCTCCCCACTGTATGTATTTAACCCCCTGAGTCAATACATGTTAGAATCACCTTTGGCAGCGATTACAGCTGTGAGTCTTTCTGGGTAAGTCTCTAAGAGCTTGCCACACCTGGATTGTGCAACATTTGCCATTATTCTTTTCAAAATTCTTCAAGCTCTGTCAAATTGGTTGTTGTTCATTGTTGACAATCATTGTCAGATCTTGCAATTGATTTTTAAGCCGATTTTAAGACAAAACTGTAACTCTGCCACTCAGGAACATTCACTGTCTTCTTGGTAACCAAATCCAGTGTAGATTTGGCCTTGTGTTTTACATTATTGTCCTGCTGAAAGGTGAATTCATCTCCCAGTGTCTGGTGGAAAGCAGACTGAACCAGGTTTTCCTCTAGGGTTTTGCCTGAGCTTAGCTCCGTTTAATTTTTATCCGAAAAACTCCCCAGTCCTTAACGTAATGTGTTGTATCTGTCAATTAGGTTAGTATTGTGGAGTAACTACAATGTTGTTGAGCCATTCCCAGTTTTCTCCTGTCACAGCCATTAAACTCTGTAACCGTTTTAAAGTCACCATTGACAGTTTCCTTCCTCTCTGGCAACTGAGTTAGGAAGGACGCTTGTATCTTTGTAGTGACTGGGTGTATTGATACCCATCCAAAGTGTAATTTGCTCAAAGGGATATTCAATCAGTAGAGGCTCCTCAGAGGAGGAAGGGGAGGACCATCCTCAGTGAATTTCATAAAAATAAAAATAGTAAAACATAAAAAAAGTTATCCATAAAAAAGTTATCCATAAAACTATACTAAATATAATCACGTCACCAAATAATTGATTAAAACACACTATTTTGCACAGAAGGTCTACAGGAGCCTCAACAGCACTATGTAGCATAGCACCATGGTGTAGCCGGAGGACAGCTAGCTTCCGTCCTCCTCTGAGTAGATTGACTTCAACAAAACCTAGGAGGCTCATGGTTCTCACCCCCTTCCATAGACTTACACAGTAATTATGACAACTTCTGGAGGACATCCTCCAACCTATCAGAACTCTTGCAGCATGAACTGACATGTTGTCCACCCAATCAAAGGATAAAAAAATGTGGTACTGAAAGCATAAGCTACAGCTAGCTAGCACTGCAGTGCATAAAATGTGGTGAGTAGTTGACTCAAAAAGAGAGAAAGACAGTAGTTGAACAGTTTAACAAATACATTTCTTCCAAAATGAAGGAGAAGTGAGAGAGAGATTTTGTCATTTTTTTCACTTTCAGTTTCACTTACCTAGCTAGCAAATGCAGCTAGCTAGTTTAGCCTACCGAAACAACACCCTGCTCAAACAGAGGGATGTTATGTCAGCTAGCTGGCTATGACTTTCCAACACAACACTGGAACTCTTCCAAGTCAAGGTAAGCTTTTGGTTTTACTAATTTATTGCCACCGGTGTAACTGCTTACTGACTGTACACTGTAACGTTACTGCATGATTGTAGCGGGTTTACTAACGCGTTAGTTCTATTAGCTATGCTGACTATGACGTTACTTTAGCTAATATGGTGACAACGATGTAGGCTGTGTGTAGCGGTTTAGCTTGGGAAGTTTTTTCGCCTGGTCACATACAGCTGATGTGTTGTGCATTGAAGTCCACATGCGAAGGGACAAGGTGAGCGCATAGATGAGAGATGGAATACAACGTGGCTGCTATGAAAGTGAACTGTGTTTAAGTGTGATCAGGGGTGTATTCATTCCGCCGATTCTGTTGAAAAAAAATTCTTAAACGGAAGCAAACAGAACAAAACAGGGATTAACATACCAGAATTTGTCCAATAGATACTCCCGTTTGCAACTGTTGGACTAATGATTAAACCCTATATCAGCTAGATGCAGGCAAGAGTGTGCAAGGCGGTATTGAATGTCACTGTCTGTCCATGTGTCACTCTTTGTCACCTCAAATTTGTCTCTTGACCTGTGTGCACCTATGTTGTAAACTGTCATTCATAGGCTAGGTTGTAGCAACCTCATGATGGGTATAGGGAAAATTTAGAGTATCATGTAGTAGCCTAAACCTATCAATGTTACATTGAACTGGGTGAATGGAATATGAATGACAGTCATCCAATATCCTGTAACAGAAATAAAGCCATGCTCATGAAAAACAAAATGGTCCCCCCTCATCTTAAACGGCACTGACCGCCACTGTATTCAATCTGTGTTTGAAATTCACTGCTCGACTGAGGGAACTTACAAATAATTGTGTGTGTGGGGTACAGAGATGAGGTAGTCATTCAAAAATCATGTTAAACACTATTATTGAACAAAGAGTGAGTCCATGCAACGTATTATGTGACTTGTTAATCAAAGTTTTACTCCTGAACTTATTTAGGCTTGCCATAACAAAAGGGTTGAATACTTATTGACTCAAGACATTTCAGCTTTTAATTAATTTGTAAACATTTCGAAAAACATAATTCCACTTTGACATTATGGGGTATTGTGTGTAGGCCAGTGACAAAAAAATCTCAATTTAATCGATTTTAAATTAAGGCTGTAACACAACAAAATGTGGAAAAAGTCAAGGGGTGTGAGTAATTTCTGAAGGCACCATGAGAACCATAAAATTGCGTCCGGTGTGGACATTATACCTCCTGATAAAATGAAGTGTGCATAAACCTGAGTGTACGTTAATTTAAAAAAATACAGTTCCAGCTAAACCAGGACAAGAAGAATTTGTCCAACTCTCAGGTACATTCAGGGCCTCCATGCACCTCTTAACCTAAAGATGGAGTACAGGGCAATAATAAGTAATTCATCATTCACTCACTGAAATAGACTATACAGGCAAGTGGTAATATGTCTTTCCCATTTACCATGTAGTTATTCAGATTTTATCTTATTCTCTCAGATTCAGCACTTGCCCTTTCTACAAAGTTCCAAACTTGCCCTAGACATATTCAGAGTGATGAGAGCTTTAGGTTCGAGGGCATTCTTAATGGTATTTGAATACTGCCATCATTCTGCAGTTTTACAAAGGGATGGGTGTGTGACTAACATCATGGTCATAGGTGTTTTCTTGCAGATCAAGCCCAATGTGAATTGATGGGAGAGCCACATCTCATGATGCAGTACAAGTTGGGATGGATGTGAGGATGTCTCCTAACTATGTTACATTTGTCATGTATGTGACCAAGACAAAGGAGATGATTGTGGACTACAGGAAAAAAAAGAGGACTGAGCATGCCCCCATTCTCATCGACGGGGCTGTAGTGGAACAGGTTGAGAGCTTCAAGTTACTTGGTGTCCACATCACCAACTAACTATCATGGTCCAAACACACCAAGACAGTCGTGAAGAGGGCACAACAAAGCCTATTCCCCCTCAGGAGACTGAAAAGATTTGGCATGTGTCCTCAGATCCTCAAAAAATTCTACAGCTGCAGCATCCTGACTGGTTGCATCACCGCCTGGTATGGCAACTGCTTGGCCTCCGACCACAAGGCACTACAGAGGGTAGTGCGTACGGCCCAGTACATCACTGGGGCCAAGCTTCCTGCCATCCAGGACCTCTATACCAGGCGGTGTCAGAGGAAGGCCCTCAAAATTGTCAGACTCCAGCCACCCTAGTCATAGACTGTTCTCTCTGCTACTGCACGGCAAGCGGTACCAGAGTGCCAAGTCTAGGTCCAAAAGACTTCTCAACAGCTTCTACCCCCAAGCCATAAGACTCCTGAACAGCTAATCATGGCTACCCGGACTATTTGCACTGCCCCCCCACCCCATCTTTTTACGCTACTGCCACTCTGTTAATTATGTATGCATAATCACTTTAACTCTACCCACATGTATACCTCAACTAGCCGGTGCCCCCGCACATTGACTCTGCACCGGTACCCCCCTGTATATATAGCCTCCCTACTGTTATTTTACTTCTGCTCTTTTTTTCAACACTTTTTTGTTGTTGTTTTATTTTACTTTTTTTATTAAAAAATAAATGCATTGTTGGTTAAGGGCTGTAAGTAAGCATTTCACTGTAATGTCTACACCTGTTGTATTCTGCACATGTGGCCAATAAAATGTGATTTGATTTGATATGTGGTTTCATTTGTGTTTTTTTATATTTTTGGTTGGGTTCTTGCATGTCTTTAAAGACGATCATATTTCACACTGCAATTATATGCTGATGGACAACATATTGTTTAATGGAGTTTTTTATTAGTTTTATGAAGCATCACACAAGCTTTTTGATAGAAATGAAGCAACTCACAAGTCGTACCATCTCCTTCCTATACTAGATAGTGTAATCCGCAATATAGAACATTACTCATGTCATTTGAGGTAATCTGTCATAGCAAACTCCATTTGGCATTATCTTAACTATTGGAAGGACAACACTGCTTCAACTAAGTAGGGAAGGTAACCAGGATAGTTTAAAGAACTCAGGAGTAGCATTTCTTTGATTTACAGCAATACCAGAGTATTCTGCTTCATCTCTCAAACTTTGCACATACAGTATATGACATACGTCTGCCCTAATGAGCATGATATAAAATGGTTGATATAATACAGATGCAATAGATGTCTTCTTAAATGGTGACAACAAAAGGAGGAAATGTTTTTTAAAAGCTTTTCATTACAATCTTAAATGTTAACATTGAACTGAAGTCAAATGAACAGTATATATATTAATAAAACACTTATTTCCTAACAATGTGCAGAATAAACCATAAAACTGTTAAATGGATGCCTATAATAGGATGTAGATATGGATCCTGTCTGTCGTAATCCTTCAGTCTAGCTTCTCCTCCTGGAAGTAGTCTGCATCATTAAGATGGTCCTGGAACTTCTCATATTGCTGAGAGAGACAGATATGGGAGTGAAGTGGTGAGGAAAATCAGAGAGTATCGATTTCTATTCCACAAAATGACAGTGTGGGGGAGCAAGTAAGAGGGTTTTCTGAAACAGACAGATGTGGATGATAATTCAATGAGGAGTACTGTTCTTTTATGGAGGGGAAGTGGGGTACATACCTCTGAGATCCAGCCACTCTCCTCCAGTTTGGTGAACACCCTTTTCACTGTTTCCTTCACTGGCTCCTCTCCATTCTTCTCCTCCTCCATCACTGTCCGGCAGTGTTGAAACAAGTGGTACTTGAAGTGTTTCAGAGCATGATACACCCCTGTTCGGCTGGCACAAACGGAGCCCACACTGAAAGCCTGCCATTTAGGAAAGATACATGCAAGGTGACCTGTCATTGAAAACACTCCCTCAGACAAACAGCAAACCTGACATTTCACAAAAGGATAAATTGGTGCAAGGTCCGATACATAATTATTTGATCTGATGATACGGTGCTGATGTTGATCCGTTTTGATGTACTTTTAGTTAATGGGATTTGATGGGATTCCAATGTATGCTTTCTTCTGGGGACAGAGATGGATAAAACAAAGACAGTGTTGATTTCTTTTCAGATGTAGTACCTGTGTGTCATCGGGCATGAATTGGTCCTCTTGGAGGCTGTTGAGATCGTACAGTTGCCCTGAGAGACGCACACTGAAACTGCATTGTCTCTGGAGCTTGCATGCCTCACAAACACTCTGATGCAATCCTAACTTCAAGAGCCGGACCTTGGGGTAACACTCCACCCGCTCCTGCACATGGACACACAAAAACACATACCAGTTTCCATATATTGTTTTTTAACATAATATAAGAATGGAAGTCTTAGCCAAAGTACAAGCATTGCTGTATAGATGAGATCAATGAATATGCAGCCAATGTTGAATGACTACACACAAACTCCTGTTTAAGTTCTGTGAAATGGTTCTTTACCTTGTACCGGTCGGTCCAGCGGCTCCGCTGTTTCAGGTTCTCCAGGCGAGGGAGGATCGTCCGCTCATCAAAGTGGAACAGCGACGCCTTCATCTCCTGAGCATATCGCTTTGTCCGATCACCGCCTGCTCACAGTTATCAACCAAATAGATTCTCTATACTTGGATCATGATGTTGGTTGGGGATGGTGTTTGAGACCTCTATTGTTTAAAAACACTTACCATAAAGAGACTTGAGAAAGGTTTCATCCAGGACGTTGATCATAAGGGCTTTGAGGACCACTTGAAAGTGATTGAGCTGAGACCCAGTGATGACTAGGAAAAGGAGGAAAGAAGCAAAGGAATCATAAAACAGTGTGCTTTTACCTGTAAACATTGACCCATGATAAAGTGTGTCAGCTGACTCACACTGGCGTGGAAGAGAAACAGCTTTTTCATCTGACACCTCCTCACTCTTGTCCCCTGTCTTATCCTCAACTATGAAGTCCTTCAGACTGTCGCTGTGATCTGCTGCCTCTTCTTCACTGCTGCCCAGCAATAATTCAGGGGTATCCTCTTCATCATCATTATCATCATCACCACTAACATCTTCAGCTACTTTACCCTTGTCTTCGTCACCTGAATCCTGGATATTTACAAGAGAACCACAGCAATACATGGGTTGTAAAACAATGTTCAACAACAAAGAACGTTTCCTCAGTACCCTATAGTCCATATATGGACAGATTAATGTGGGTGTATGCAACATGATTCTGCCCAAAGGATCAACACTTATGTTATGTTCGTTTACATGATATGTTGGTAAGATACCTCCAACGTGACCCTGCGTTTCGGAACGCGGGACTTCATCTTCTTGGATAATGCCAGGAGTTTAGACTGGCGTTGCTTTCGTTTAGCTGCGGTCTCTTTAGCTTCGGCAACTGTTTTGTCCTTTTGTGCGGCACTCTCGTCCTCTGAATCGGAATCTTGGCTTTGCTGTTTTATGCGTTTTTTGGGAACGACTTTCCTTTTAGGCTTGGTTCCTACGTCGCTGTCAGAGTCGCTGGAGCTGTCAGCGAGGACGCGCTTCCGACGAGGACGGGATCTACCTTCGCTGGAGCTACTACCATCGCTGGCAGGGCTCTGTTCCCCACTGGCAGGTGTACTTTCGCTCCCACTGTCCGAATTCTGACTGTAACTCTCTGAAGCGCTGATGCTGGTCGTGCTCGCGCAGGACTCCTCGTCACTGTCATCAAGGATAGACGACGGCAGACCGATTTGAGCCCTTTTCTTCGACGCTTCAGCTTTATTTTTTCGCAACGTCGCGAACACTTTACGCTTGTACAGGCTTTCCATTGTTGCTTACACAGTGTTGCCAAGTTAACGGTCCAAATAAACGTTAAATAACGTTAGCAATACTGGCTGGCTAGCTAGCAATTAGCTAATGTGAGATGCAGAACATGCTCATAAAAAAAAATGCGAGCAATCATATGTAAACAACGTTCATCTGGGTTGATACCAAGCTTTACTACGGTGAACCTTAAAAAAACATCAAATTGTATCTCGTGTGCACCTTTTGTTTTTGTTTTGTTGATGTTTCTTGTGCTTCTTCCCACTTCCGCTCTCGACTCCCGCCCTCCACTCAAAAGAAGGGCCTCTAAAATCATAGCGCCTCTCCTGGCCATTCTAGTGAAATGACTACTTTTTTCCCCTTTAGGCCCACTTGTGCGAAGACAATTAGTGATATATATTGTTTGCTAATGTGCATCATGTATACAAAATAAAAGCTTTATTTATTCATGTCTCAATTCAGAAAAAAATAGTAATTTATTTTAAAAATAGTAATGTATTCAGGAAAAGTGGTAAATGTTCTTCACAAATCAGAGAATCAAACATGTAACACATGTCAGCAATAAGAAGGCTTTTTAACATTTATAATCAGCAAGAAAGCATTTTAAGCATTTATTAATGACCAGACAAGAATGGCACCATCTGACCCTGCTGATAATAAGTACTCCCCCTTGTCATCAAAGATTACACTATGGACAGCGTCATCATGGCCCAATAAACTGGACACCTGAGTTGATGCCAGCTCCACCAGCTTAACTGAGCCATCATTACTGGCGATAGCTAGTGTCCGGCCTGATGGGCTGAAGGCCACTTAGTTGCTAGCAAGTACGAAGAGTGTTGGAAAAGGGCAGGAAAGTAACACTGTTGACTGAGTCAACGTGGCCAAGAAGGGTGCTACGACAGCGCTCCCTTTGCAGGTCCCACACCTTTGTAGTGTCCATTGAGCAAGAGGCGACAAAGTCCCCACATGAGTGGAAGGAGCAGCCCCATGTGGCATGGGTGTGGTCATTCAGAGTCAGGATGCAGCGGCCTTGGGAGAAATCCCAGATCCTTACTGTTGTGTCTCCACTGGTGGTGGCCAGGCTTCCACCATTTGGGTGAAAGCTGCAGCCAGAGAGCCAATCACTATGACCCACCCCAGTCATGATCATCTCCCCCACAGGCATACCCCACAACCTCCAGAGCTGATCGTCACTGGAGGAGGCTACAATAAACCTGATGGGGTGCAGGGCGAGACAGCTTATTGGCAGGGATGGGCCTTCAGTGAGTTGGTGAGGCAGAATCCAGATGCTTTAGTGCTCTGTGAGGCCAGAGCTTTTATTTGGCCTAAGTAGGGGTTCATACAGCTGCTGACAGGAAACTCAGAATCTTTGGGGTGTTTCTGAGATGTGTTTTTGGTTGGGTCTTTGTCTTGGTCATAGAGGGCAATTCCATCATTCTGTAGTCATACTCTTTTCCCAGACTTACTCTGGTATTTCTCCTGTTCTGGGGGAAGACCTGTCTCTCTGTTGGCTGAGCGGATTGTGGATGATGAGTGTGTATTACGCAGGGTGGTTACCAGGCCGTTGGCCTGGCCACATGTTCTGTCCCTCTCTAAACTGATAAGCATCTTCTGTTTCAGCGCCACTTGGTACCTATCACAGCTGCTTCAGTGCAGGCTCATTTGACCCATAGTGCTTCTTCAGTGGTTTGATGTCTTCAACAAGCCTGTTCTTCTCTTGGACAACACGCTTATGCTGCAGGCGATGGAAATCCCTCTTTCTGAAGCTTGATCAGTATTTCACCAGCTTTGAAAGCTGCCTGACTGAAACTGTCCCACTCTCTCTGCACATTATTCAGCTCATTGTCTATAAATTGGTTGTGCATATATGCGTCAAGCACAAACTCCACCAGCTTGGTATTCAACAACCCCCTCTGCACCATTTCGTACCACTCTGCTTGGAAGCAATCCAAAGTTCTGCTCATGCCCATTTTGACAAGGAAGTTGCGGAGAAAATCATCCACCACTTCTGGAATGTGGGAGATGGGTTGCTTAGCTGAACTGAGCCTCTGCTCTGTAACAAGGACCCCGTTTCATCTGAGGCATCGCGCAATGCTCTTATCGCTGCCTCCAAATCCTCATCCCCCTCTGCCATACTCCTTTCTTCATAGGCCAGAACTTCCTCATATTGATAATCGTCTTCTGAGTCATCTGGCATCGACACCTTTTCGAGGTAATATGGCCCATCGATAGATTCTTGCGCTGTTTCATTTTTCGCAGCCATTCTTCCAACAACCCCTCTCTGTGTTTGTTTACCCGTCTCCATGGTCACGAGTTTGCAACATAAAATCTGCCCAGTATACATGGAATGTGATAGGCCTACAGCAGGGGTGTCAAACTCATTCCACCGAGGGCCGAGTGTCTGCGCGTTTTTGTTTTTCCCTTTCAATGAAGACCTAGACAACCAGGTGAAGGGAGTTCCTTATTAGGTGACCTTAATTCATCGATCAAGTACAAGGAAGGAGAACTGTTCATTTACTAACCTGCAATGGCAAAACAATTACAGCAGGTGGCATATTCAATTCGCAGTTGATGCTATAGGACCGCTCAATGACACACACAGCCTAACAGAGCTCTCTCTCTCTCTCTCTCTCTCTCTCTCTCTCTCTCTCTCTCTCTCTCTCTCACACACACACACACACACACACACACACACACACACACACACACACACACACACACACACACACACACACACACACACACACACACACACACTTTTGCACTGATCTCTGCATATTAAAATGTCAGTCCCCCATTTCACCTGCTCTATAAGCTATAGCCTATACACTCTTTGAAAAAAGGGTTCCAAAAGGGTTCTTTGGCTGTCCTCATAGGAAAACCATTTTTGGTTCCAAGCAGAACCCATTTGGGTTCCATGTAGAACCCAAAAAGGTTCTGGCTGGAACCAAAAGGGTTCTACCTGGAACCAAAAATGATTTTTCAAATGGTTATCCTATGGGGACAATCGAAGAGCCCTTTTAGGTTCTAGATAGTACATTTTTTCTAACAGTGTAGGTTTGTTCCTCCTCACCTTACTCTATAACACAATTGTATCCATATGTCAAAGTGCCATCTGATCTAAACATGGAAATGTATGGAAACAGCTCTTGAATTTTTTTTGCCTATGATCTGGCTGGTTCTTGAAATTGAACTTGACTGACAATCGGGGGCTATGTTTCTCTTCTCAACTGGCAACCAATAGGAAGCCAAGAAAGGATACGTGGATGCGACAGATTTGGAGACTGTGGTAAGTAAAGTAGCATTCAGATGTCAGTGTAGACAGAGGAGGAGAGAGGGGAGGCAGGGCGATCGAAGAATAGGCGTTAACGCATTCAAGCTCTGTCCAGACTTGAGGGTCACCTGTTAGGCGCAAGACATGAGCCATCCAAATGAGAAAGATGCCTCCGGCACAACCGAAAGTAAACCTAAATCGCCCATGCTTTCCTCATACTGCATCGAAAGCATACTCGGCCGAAGAAGTCCCCTCAAAGTCAGACTCACTGGAATGCAAAGTTTACCAATGCTGCTGACTGGGAGTGCGGAGCATAATGCGCCTTTGGAAGGTAAGACAATATGTTGTAAGTTGACTGCTACCTTTCACTATAACCCATATGCAATTATAGAAAACATCTCCAAATGTATATTGCATTTGCAGCTAAACACACTTGCATTTTATTTAATGTGGCGAATGGCCTTTGCAATTAAAGTACATTTCATTAGGCCTATGTTGTTTTAAAGAAGCCTATGCCCTATAGACAACATTACCTTATAAAAAAGGGCTATTATAATGTGATGAAACGTATCATATTGCATGTTGCGCTGTTGATTATTTATAAATTCCTTAAAATAAACGATCTCTCTTTGCAGCCTCTCAGAAAGATGCGGACATGCACCTGCCTACCAAGTTGCGGCGTCTGTATGGCCCAGGGGGAAAGCTCATGGACTCCAGACGGGGAATTCACGAGCATGAGGAGCAAGAAGACAGGGAGCGTCCTCTAGACAAAGTCTACGAAAATTTGAAAATCACTCAGGCGCCACAAGTTAGCATCAGCCGCAGTAAATCCTACAGGGAAAATGCGTCCCACAGTCAGAGCGAGGAAGATCAGAACCTCGGGCGAGGGACAGAGGAGCACGCGGAACTTAGCGCCGTAAAGTTCGAGGAGGACACTGGCAAGGAGCACATCTGCGAAGAAATAGAAATGTCCCCAAAGAACGGAGAGAGTTTGCACATCAATGGAGATGTAAAAGACGGAGAGGACAGCGTCTGCCTCTCAGCTGGCAGTGACTCAGAGGAGGGGATGCTAAAGCGAAAACAGAGGAGATACAGGACTACGTTTACCAGTTATCAGCTTGAGGAGCTGGAGAGAGCTTTCCAAAAGACGCACTACCCCGATGTGTTCACGAGGTAGCATTCTCATTTGCCAGCACTTATCAGTTATTTTTACACTATGAAAATCTGTTGCATATATGCCTATAGGCCTATTGTCATAAAAATAAAAAAAAGAGCTCTTAAAAATTGAAGAAAAAAAATTTGATAATCCAAATAGGAAGTCTAGAGATATGATTCGAAAGTGAGCCTTTCTTAATGGTCAATTCTTGCATTGAGGTGATTAAAAATATATTATTGTTTGGCTTAGAAATGTAAGAATATGAAACATCTTTTATCATTACATTTGAGCATTATCAGAAGAGTAATATTGTTCATTACATTATTATTAATAATTATTATAAAGCAGTCATATTACGCAATAATAATAATAATAATAATAATAATAATAATAATACATGTAATACACTAACAATATAAATCACACACAACAAAACGAAATATTAAAAGATGTGTGTGCGCAACAATTCCTATCAAGGAATAGAATAACCGTTTAAACCAATTGTAATGATTTACATTTTAGTTATTTAGCAGACGCTCTTATACAGAGCGACTTACAGTTAGTGAGTGCATACATTTTTCATACTGGCCGCCCGTGGGAAACGAACCCACAACCCTGGCGTTGCAAGCGTCATGCTCTACCAACTGAGCTACAGGGGACCTGCACATAGTCGTTCTCATTTGAATTATTATTAATTATTATTGTGGATTTTATTATCGATAGTCTAATTGTGGTTGCCAAAAAGATTTCCCAAAAAGATTTGTACAAAACGTTTAAATTCTTGATGTCAGTTGAAGTTGGCTGCTACAGATAAAAATGTTTGCTAAATGGCAGAGCAAGTTGTTGGCATAATTGCATCTTTACAAAAACATATTTGTGAGATTGTATATTTATTGCTTGATTCACAAAGGAAAATTTGGAAGAATATTCATGGCTCTTGGTAGAGGTAATGTAGGCACAATTTATATTATTTATTTTCAAAGAAGCCTACGCACATAGCCTAATCCAACGACGATATTGATTTAATATAATGTGAATTGTATCGTTATCATTTAAGCTTGTATTACTGTCATCATTGGATTTGGATTTGTACGAGGAAAGCTATGATGATAACTGAATATCATGTGCAATTTTTTCTTCTTTCAATTTAGGGAGGAGTTAGCGATGCGGTTGGATCTCACTGAGGCGCGTGTGCAAGTGAGTGTCAATTATTATTAGTTCATATTTTACATTATTATGACCAGCCGACAATAGCCTATTAGTGCTATTCATTCTACTACCATATTTAAATTCGACAACATGCAACATTATAGGGTAGCCTATATTAACGTTAATTATAATAACATTTTATATTATAGACCTAATTGTATATTATGATTATTATTATTATTACTACATTTGTAATACATTTGTAATACAGTTCACTTTAGACATGCAGCGAGAGCAGTGGCGATTTTAGCATGTAAATCTTGGTGGGGCAAAAGATAAATAAAAGTGGGATGCATGCCAGCAAAGCCACAACGCAACACTAAACAATACATTAATTGCAATATAACGGTAACAAACGGTGCTCACAAACTGTTACGGCTTACATAAAGCTGTCCCAACAGCAGTCCCAACATCTTACCACTGCTACACCTGGCTATCAGCGGAGCCTTGTCCGGCAGCGAAACAGTTCATTCAGCCTCATTTACTGCCTTTAAAAAAAACATATCTGATATGGCTGACTTGCTTAAACAAATGTGGTTTCTAATGACAATTGAGATGTACAAACTATGGCATAAGGGAACGACAAACGGATAAGAGGCAATCCGTAATTGCCATTAATGAGCGAGCTAGGACGGACTATTTGTTTAGCGCTTTTGAAATGTACAGCGACATAATTCAGAACATGGGCCATTCTTACAGTATTCTCCCTGTACACCAAGTCAGAACCGTAGGATACATAAAAGGGGCATATAAGCAGACAATGAAAGCTCTTACAATATTCGATGATTACATTTATCTAAAACAGGTTATAGGCTACATGTGCACCACCAAGTCAGAACAGTAGGCGAAATTAAGAGGGGGTAAATATACCAAATTATTAGGGTGAGGCACATGGGCTACTAACATCTTACTACACAACATACACTTAGTATTACTTTCTTAGCTACAGTATATATATCTCCCTGGCATATTACATAATTTATGCAGCAGCATACAATACATTTTTGGACTCACCTTGTTGTGCTGTGCTCACTTGAACAGGAAGGTGGCCCTTCGTGGGCAAATTTTGTCATCAAAGAAAGAGAAAGAGGCCGGATTTACAATTTCAAGTTTGATGACCATTCAAAACGTATTTTCCCAGTTGGAGCTCGTTTAATCCCGATTTCCCAGTTGTCTTGAACTCACTGAAGTCAAGTTTTCGCAGTTCTGAGTTAACAGTTGTTTTGAGCACTGCACAAATCATGTTTCATTGACAGCATGGCCAATGTTGAATGTTTATCATTTTAAATTTGGAAAAGAGCCCCTTAATCCCAGATTTGGGACCACACAGCCACTCCACTGAATAGCAGGCTAGTGATTGCTTTGCAATGCTTGCAGTTAGCCACTGTCACCAATTCCTTCCAAACCACTCATTGTTGAATTTGCGATTTCCAACTTGTTGTGTAATGTTTATGTCCAATGATGAGCACCAATACGTTTTATCTATAATTTCTCTTCATTATTTCTCTTCATATGGCAAGGATTAAAAAGGATTTGCCAGTAGATTGTCGACTTGATTCATGATGATGACTGCTAGCTAAGATTTTGAAAGTATGATGTTGACATGATCAGTCCAATCAAAGCTACTGTAGACATAACGTGATTTGACATCATTTTATCTGTGGCCAATGACCTTGAGCCTTCTTGGATGGGCACTTCTAATGTAACTATATGGCAGCACCCAAGGGGCTTCAATTTTCGAGCGCTACCCTTAGACTAGGCGGTGACTTTAGTGCCCCATGAGTGACAGAACACTGAGCCAATCACGGCGCAACTAGAGAACATTACCAACACCTACGCTCCGTATTTTCCGCTGGCTGCCCCACAACCACAGAAAGCACTGAGCTAGGCTGAAACACCTGCATTTTGGAGCTGCCTTACTTAAGAAAACAAAAAAGAGACCATGTTTGTATGCAGCTTTATTAACTCAATTATATATATTTTTACATTGTTTGCAAACTGATATGTGACACGTATTAATGCCAAAATAACATGCAAAACAGGCAAGCCCCCCCCCCCAAAACCCCCCCCCCCCCCCCACCTGCCCTGAATGATGGGTCGCCACTGAGCGAGAGGAGAAATTATTCAAACACACCAGAAAAATGAATTTGCTTCAGGGCGTTCATGACTGTATGGTGCACTTAACAGTGCAAACAGAGCCAGTGTTGACGAAAGTGACATCCTTGCATAGCAGTGGCGGGGTAATGCTATTTGATTTCCCATCCTCTTATTGTAATAGCCGTGCATTGATCCGATTTCTCACACCTTAAATGAGATAGACGCCATTGTAAGTGTTAGCTACACTACCATCCTCATATAGAACATTGCTTACATTTTGAAACTTGAGTCTCAACCTTAGATACCAGACTACGCATTTACCCCTCCCCCCCATGTCACTCGCTTCGGAGCTGTAGATGAGCAAATCACTCTATGGAGAGGTGATAAAACCTTGTAAATTCCATATGTTTCATTTTGTAGCCAGTGTCAAGTCTGAATGGGAGGGGAACCTGGTTGCACATTCCCTCCCTCTCTGTTCTCTTCACTGTCTCCACACTAGTTGATTTACTTTCAATTTGCACAGAATCTGCTTTATTGTCATGTCCAAACTGCAATAAATAAAAAATTAATAAATAGACAACTGTTACCCAACATTTTGAAATAAACAAACCCTAACCCCAACCCCAGGTCTAATGGTCTTTCTCTTCCTCCCTGTAAGGTGTGGTTCCAAAACCGCCGAGCTAAGTGGCGGAAGCGGGAGAAAGCTGGGGTTCAGACTCACCCCCCGGGACACCCCTTCTCTGGACCCCTGGGTGCAGCACACCACCTGAGCCACTACCTGGAGGGAAGTCCTTTCTCGCCCCACTCTCACCCCTCCCTGGAGTCTGCCTGGACTGCTGCTGCCACCTCGTTCCAGGGTCTGACCCAGCCCCTCGCCAGCTCTGCCGCCCCCCTGGGATTTGGCCCCTTCCTGGGAGCAGCCATGTTTAGACATCCCACCTTTATTAGCCCCTCCTTTGGAAGGTGAGCACTGCCAACAACTCTACATTAGTAAGGCTGCAACTGATTGGAGTGGTACCATCTGGACTGTATGTCTAATTCATTATTACTAACTTTTCTCTCGTTCCCTGTCATCTTCTGTATCTTCCCTCTCTCTTCCAACCTTCTCGCTCTCTCTTTCTCCATCGGCAGACTCTTCTCTAGCATGGGTCCTCTGACACTCTTACGCCAGCCCATACCTGCGGTAGAGACTCCAGTCCAGCCCCCGACGGCATTGTCAGAGCCTTCCCCCTCCTCGCCTGTGGACCGCCGGGCCTCCAGCATCGCAGCACTGCGGCTCAAAGCTAAAGAGCACTCAGCTCAGCTGACACAACTTAACATCCTTCCTTCCAGCATGACTGGGAAGGAGGTGTGTTGAGAGACATCAAACTCCCTCCAATTCCCTCTACATGGAGCATGAGTCATGACCAAAGGACTAGCAGCTTAGAAGTGGTATAGCACAACAAAACCTTATCTAAACTCCTCCCAAGTTAGTTGTCCCAAGGTTCTGTTAGTCCACACTCTCCACAACAGTGAAACATGCTTTCCTCATGAACTGAAGAAGAGAGAATAAAAAAAAATTGGGCTCCCTGCCCTTTGACCCTCAGGAATGACCCATTAGCAGCCTCTCACAGGGTGCTACGCAGTGTTTCCCAATTCCGGTCCTCGAGTACCCCAAATCTCACATTTCTGTTGTAGCCCCGGACAAAAACACCTGATTCAACTTGTCAAGGGCTTGACAATTAGTTGACAACTAGAATCAGGTGTACTTGTCTGGGGCCACAACAAAAAAATAGGTACTGTTGGGCATCCTCGAGGACCGGAGTTAGAAAAACACTGTGCTACAGGCCACCAAAGGGACAGGCCCTGGAGAGGTTCAGACTGTGTAAGTTTAAATATCATATAATGTACATTTCATGTATTGATAATATGGTGTTTGTTGATAGATTTTCGCAGTCTTCTTAAATTAGTTGGTTATTAAAGTTTGTATTTATGATCAGTCCTGTATGAGCCAGAAGGAAGTTTTCAGGAGGAAAATTGTATTTTATTTTAAACATTATTTCCTGGTTTCAGATGAATCAGTTGAAAAGACCTAAGACAATAAACTGTCAAATGGAAAACGTTGCACCTTTAGTTGCTTTTAACTGTGTTGCAGTGAAATTAAAAATGAAAAGTCAAATAATTATATGGACAGAATAGAGAGGTGTATTCAACAGCATGAAACAGTACAATAACAAGTTTGCAACAGACGACATAAACAGTGGTCTCTCCAATTACTCTTACCCCGTAGAGATGGATGTAGTCTACAGTCTCACTGATGGATATCAAGAGCTGGATTCAACCCTTAAACAGGGACAAAGGTGTGGGTTAAGGATTTATATGGTCATACAGTGGCGTTCAAAATGATTTAAACTGATAAAGATGAGCAAAAATGACTGTATAAAATAAATAGTTCAAATACTGAGCTATATTGTATGCAAAAAAAGAAGGGAAATTATATTATTTTATACTAATACAATTGCTCAGAAAAATAGATTTTGTTTAACAAGTAATACTTTTTTTCTCGAAAAGGTAGGGGTAAAAATGATTGACACCCCTGTTTTCAATACCTTTTTCTAAAATGTTTTATGAGTTGGAGAAACACATTGGGAGGGATCTTAGACCATTCCTCCAGATCTTTGATATCCTTCGTCTGCGCTTATGGACTTATGTCCGGAGAGAGATGGCCATTACAAAATGTTGATTTTGTGGCCAATTAACAATTTCTTTGCTGATTTTGATGTGTGCTTATGGTTATTATCTTGCTGGAAGATCCACTTGTGACCAAGTTTCAGCCTCCTGGCAGAGGCAATCAGGTTTTTGTCTGAAATGTCCTGGTACTGGGTAAAGTTAATGATGCTGTTGACCTTAACAAGGGCCCCAGGACCAGTGGAAGCAAAATAGTCCCATAACATCAAACATCCACCACTATATTTCACAATAGATATTGGGTTATTTTCTGCTCATGAATTGTAATTTTGATGCCAAACCCACCACTGGTGTGCATGGCCAAAGAGCTCTATTTTCATGTCATCCAACCAAAGCACCGGTTCCAAAGCAAACTCCTGGCATTTACATTTGTTGGATGCCAAATAATACAGCCAGTCCACCCTCAAAACACTATCTTACAAGGGATTGTTTCATTATGCAGTGTAGCCTATACTATCTATAGCTATATATATAGTATTAAGCTTAGCTGCTATTTATCCACTTTTTCTCTATATTAATTACACATCAAATAACCTAACATTTCTCCTGAAGTATTCCTTGCTGCATCTCTCTCCACGTCTGTCTCCTTTTCTCTTTCTTTCTCTTAGAAAAAAGCTGATCTGTGTCTGTGCTTGTCTCTCTCTTGTTTTATATGTAGAGGGCTATAGGAGCTACAGTATGCGACGTACGCGCCGCCTTTCATTTTTGAGTGCAAATGTTTTCCCCATGGCCTGTAGGCACACTGTTTTCTATATACTAAGTATTGACAACCCAGACAGTCTTTCCTGAGACATTGTGTATTATATGTCCATTGCGCTGCACACAATTTAAACTTAGTATTGAATGATGCATGCCAAGATATATTACAGAGATAAGGGACAGTTGATATTGCAACCACACAACTCAAACGCTGGTTCACGTGTTGAGGCCGTAATTTAAGGAGAATGAGAGGCTTAGTTAAAGATGTTGCAGAACGGCTTATTAGAAGCACCACTCCTTCTGACCAGTTTCCCTGATGTTGCTACGGCAATCAAGCTGTTTTTAACCATCCTTGTAACTGTCGCTTCTGCGGAGAGATCGTTTTCTAAACTAAAACTAATAAAGAACTACCTAAGAAGCATTAGGCTCTAGGTCTGATATGCGCTTTTTAACACATGACTAAGTGCCACTCATTGCACTGGTGCCATCGTAGCCTTGACCACGGCATTTGTTCACCACTATCTCCTTACTTTCAGTTCACTTTGATCAGTCACATTATTGAAGCCCAAGAAACAAATACTTAGCTTCCTAGTACATATGGACATTAAAAGGGTTTATCAATGACTTTTTGGAAGGGTTACTGTACAAACTATGTATATATAAATTATATATACAAAACATAGACATCGATGACAGGCGCATGGGCCAAATCAGAACCAACCATAGACATCTATGTTTCACAAGTTTGGACAGCACAGTACAGTACAGTAGAGCACAGCAGAGTACAGTACATTACAGTACACAGGACAGTAAAGAAAGGTCGAGTATATATAATACAGTAATATAATACATATGCCATTTAGCAGACGCTTTTATCCAAAGCAATTTACAGTCATGCTTGTCTTACAGTCACACATTTTACGTATCAGTGGTCCCAGGAATCAAACCCACTATCCTGGCATTGCAAGCACCAAAGCCATGCTCTACCAACTAAGCTACAGAGGACCACATTATATTGTGCTCTACAGTACAGTACAATACAGTAGAGCACAGTAGAGTACAATCAAGTAAAGTATAGTGTACTGTATTCTACCCTACTTTACTATACTGCACTCTACTCTACTGAACTAAACTGTATTATACTGTACTGTACTGTATTATACTATACTTTTCTTTACTGTACTGTGTACTGTACTGTAATGTACTGTACTCTACTGTACTTTACCCTCCCGAATTAACCTCTACTGTACTGTACCGTACTCTACTGTACTCTACTCTACTGTCTAAACCTCTACTGTCCTGTACCATACCATACTGTACCATACGGTAATATAATCTACTGTGCTCAACTGTGATCTAATGTACTAAACTGCCGCACTGTAATGTGATGTTCAAACTTGTGAAACATAGCCTAGAAGTCTATGATTCGTTCAGAATTGGATCTGGTCTGCACCAACCGAATTTGTACTTGTTTTGGGGCATGGTTCATTAGAATAATACCCAGCATGCTTTGCAAGTGTTTGTTTTTACATTTACATTTAGGTAATTCAGCAGACACTCTTATCCAGAGTGACTGACAGTCATAGCAACAACAAAAAAGATATATGTAACCATTACTGAGAATGTTATTGTTGTGGCCTGTTGGTTTATTCTGTAGGTTGGTCTACTTTGAACATCATTACTGTTTTAAAGTTTTTGAAAAAGCTAACATAAGTGCATGTGACAGATGAGCGCAATAATAAATATTCTGTTGCAATCTTCAGTTGGATCTTCTTCCCTATAATATTGTGATGTAATGCTTACTTCAGAAAGTATTCATAAACTTGACTTATTCCACAGTTTGTTGTGTTACAGCCTGAATTCAAAATGGATTAAATATATTTTTCTCTCACCCATATACACACAATAACCCTTAATGACAAAGTGAAAACGTTTTCTAAATGTTTGCTAATTTATTGAAAATGAAATACAGAAATATCTCATTTATGTAACTATTCACACCCCTGAGTCAATACATGTTAGAATCACCTTTGGCAGCGATTACAACTGTGAGTCTTTCTGGGTAAGTCTCTAAGCGCTTTGCACACCTGGACATTACAATATTTGCACATTATTCTTAAAAAAATGGTTTAAGCTGTCATGTTGGTTGTTGATCATTGCTATACAGCCATTTTCAAGTATTGCCATACATTTTCAAGCCGATTTAAGACAAAACTGTAACTAGGCCACTCAGGAACATTCAATGTCATCTTGGTAAGTTATTGTTCTGCTGAAAGGTGAATTTGTCTCCCAGTGTCTGTTGGAAAGCAGACTGAAACTGGTTTTCCTCTAGGATTTTGCCTGTGCTTAGCTCTATTCCGTTTATTTTTATCCTAAAAAACTCCCTAGTCCTTGCCGATGACAAGCATACCCATAACATGATGCAGCCATCACCATGCTTGAAAATATGAAGAGTGGTACTCAGTGATGTCTTGTGTTGGATTTGCCCTAAACATAATGCTTTCTATTCAGGACATAAAGTTTTTTTGCATGTTTACTTTAGTGCCTTATTGCACACAGAGTGAGTCCATGCAACTTATTATGTGATTTGTTAAGCACAGTTTTACTCCTGAACTTATTTAGGCTTGCCATAACAAAGGGGTTGTATACCTATTGACTCAAGACATATCAGCTTTTCATTTTTAATTAATGTGTACAAATTTCTAAAAACATAATTCCACTTTGACATTATGGGGTATTGTGTGTAGGCCAGTGACACAAAATCTAAATGTAATACATTTTTTATTAATGTTGTAACACAACAAAATGTGAAAAAAAGTGAATATGTGAAACATGAATAACTGAACTTCCATAAGATTGCGTCCAGTGTGGACATTATACCTCCTGATAAAATGAAGTGTGCATAAACCTGAGTGTATGTTTATTTTATTTTTTACAGTAGTTGTGCGCGAGCTATTGATAATAAGAGGGCTCGAGCATATTGAAAGTTTCCTCGAAGAACCATTTCGCCCTGAGGTTCCTCCAAAACCATTTATGATAAGAAAGAGGAATTCTCCAGATGAAATCCTAATTGAACCCTTAATTCTTAGTGTAGGCTACCATGTAATTTTTGTCGTATTACAAAATATTCTGCTAATGTCTCCAGTCATATAAAGTCTATTAGAATTGCATGAAATGAGTTTATAAAAAGTCAAGAAAGGTATATCAGACTACATTATTCATAAAAAGTTGTCACTCACTGGTTAATGTAATAACCACGGGAAAAGTGAAGTTTACCGTTCAACATTTTATTACGTTTACAGGCAAGTTATTATATTTACTGGGTTTATTACATACGCAATCGAAAAGTTATTACAAATCGAAAAGTTATTACATTTACTGGTGTTATTAGATTTACCGTTGTT